AAGCCCTAAAAAAATTTAAATTTATAATTTAGAATAATATTAATTTTAATTAAATTTTAAATTTTAAATTTATAATTCAGAAAATTGTCGCCACATCATGCGCCACGTAGGATCGGTCAATTTATTTTTTGATCAAATAACATTATAGATGATTATGAAACCGTTTAACAAGTTCAAGATTTAACATGTTCAATTTTGTAAGTTTAAAAATTAATAGACACCTCTACAAGTTTATAAATCAATATTATTCCAAAATACAAATTCAGAAATTTTTAGGATTTTTTCCTTTATCAATATAACTTTGTGAAAAGAGGTTACTTTTTGTTCAAATAAACAGACAGAAATTATTTATCATACAAACATTTCTGTGTAGATATTATTATTTTTTTTTTAAACCATGATGTTTCCCGGATCTTCGACCTGACTACATCCACCATAGGCTCGAGATCAGTCTTTGTATATGAACCATTTTTAGTCCAGAAATTATATCTCTCCCCACCACTAGGCCACCAATTATTGGGTTCTGTGTAGATATTTTATTATGCAATACCAAGCATTTAAATTAGTTTTGAAATTCGAACATAAATATTTTGTGTTAAGATTTAAAAGAATAATAAGACTATAGATAGCGATGGTCAGAGAAAATATTTGAACATATTCAATATGTCCTATTGAGTTGTTACGACAACTTTTCTTTCGTAAGAGTTTTTTTTATTTTATTTATTGATTCTACATGTTTATTATCTTGTAAAAAAATATGAAAAACAACAAAAAATAGCATATATGAAAAAGGGAAATCTATTGACTATAGCATATACCAACCGTAGTAACTAGGGTTTTTTTTTCCCTATAGCCCTGCCTGCAATAGCGTACCAATTTGGTATGAAAATGATTTTTTTTTTGGTAAGCTGAAAATGAAATTTGATTATAATTAGATTCGCTAATTATATTTTCTTCCAATTTCCATTGCACGACAGCTCGTTCCATTGCGTTCAAAATATGGAAAGAAACGAGATCTAGTATCCCACTACATGAGTCCTCATAATGCGCATTAGTAGTTATCGTAAGAAGAAAAAAAAAAGTAATAATATATATAATTCATGCATTTCATGCAAAAAAAAAATTCTGATTTTATTGTTTGTTTTTCCATTTTATGTTTATATATATATACGCATTTTCTTCTTTTTTGGTGAAATATATAAGCATTTTCTAATACCAACATATGTAACAGTTTATATATATGTGTACATTATTTAGTTCTTTTTGCTTATTTCGTTTCATTTTCTGTATAATCTAAAACCCTAAATTTGGAAATTTTTACCCGAGCACGGTAAGATTTATAACATTTCTCACTGTGATTCGATTTGTTACGTACGCCGTAAGTCCAACTTCATTAAAAAGCGTTATTGCCGAAAGTCCAATTCTAATTATAAAGCATTGTTTTAATCTCATGGATTAGGAGTTTCATTTGAAGTCAATGACACACACAATCCAAGTGTCTCACTATTGAATTATCAGAAATTAAAATCTTGAGTGTAATTAGCGATAGAAGCAACGACACGTGGCTTGGATTAACAGATCTAATTAGTGTTCTATTATTTTTTTTTTGTGATGAGTTTGAAGTTAATACTCCAAAGCAATGTGGTGACGTGAACGTTTATTTCAAGTCTAGAAAAATTCAATTCCGTTAAACTTCTGCCAACTAAATTCGAGATCATGTAGGAGGTAAGACGATTAATCCACTCAAATGCTTGCTGCTATATATTATTACGGGAGATACGAATTTTTTACACAAGTATATGACTTTATATTTACATAAATTTATTAGCTATTTAAGATTTTCAAATAAATAAAAGATTAGAAATATTAAAATACCTTAATTTTTCAAGTAGAAATATTTACTTTTGTTATTTTAATATATAATTTTCTAGGTGATCCTTTAATATTATTATTTACATCAATTGTTTAAAACTTTTATTGAATTACAAAAAAAATCAAATATTATCATATTTTCACTATAATAATAATATTATACAATAATAAATATGTAAAATTTTAAAATAAAAAACTGAATTATGGTATAATTAAAAAGTTTCATTATTATTATTATTATTCAAATTTGATACTACTGTTAATAGTATATATTTATGTAAAAGATTTAAATAAATAATTTATTTCTGATAAAAAAATGTGTATTTATTTAGAAACGTTTTAATAGGAATATTTTCTAATAAAAATATTTGCTATTTTGTTATCCACCGAGCCAACTATTCAAACAAGTTCAAATTGTGACTAAAATATTTCAATTTTGTCTTTGTTTTAGAACAAAATAACGTTTCTGATTAATTTATTCCAAGTAAAGGCCACAAGAAACATATGCAGCTCATGGTTGCGCACCGAAGAAGTTTCGGTGCAAGATTCCTCCTCCGTTAAAAGAATATAAATAAAGCTTCCGCAAAATTCTTCCAATGGAAGCAAACCCATCAAAAAATTCGCAAACTTTCTCCGGAAATCATCCCGTGAAACCCTCCTCGCACATCTCCTCGACGGAATTTGTGTTGGGTCGCCGGAAAAAAATGGCGGTGGTGGAGAAAAAGAGTGACTTAGAAGCTGGGTTGCTGAAGAAGGATCAAAACGACACCGGAGAGTGTCGTATCACCTTTGTCGTGCTCCTCAGTACGCTCGTCGCTGTTGGTGGTTCGTTCTGCTTCGGATGTGCGGTGAGTGTTCATCAAGTGTTCGACGAAATACCCCATTCTTGGTCTTGTTAACCGATCGCTTGCCTAATTTCGATTCTTTCAGCCCAAAATGGGTTCCAGTTAGGGATTGAGGCTTGCTTTCATTCCATTTTCGGCAATAATGTTTACGTATATGCACACTTATGGCTGTAACAAGTTCTCGGCATTTTTACTGTTCCATTCAAGTAGCTTTAATGAGGGTCTGGATTTGCCTTATAGCCATGAAATGAGAATCTGGGTTTGCTTCTCTCAGGTGGGATATTCATCGGTTGCTCAATCTGGGATCATCAAAGACCTAGACCTCTCTGTTGCAGAAGTAAGCAATCACACATCGTCCTTTATCTTTTATTCCCGGAGTTGTTTATTGGCAATAAGTCATTCAAGTATTAGTTTTATCACTACGTGCTAATGTTGTGTGTGTGTGTATATATGTTTGTGATTCAGTATTCTGTGTTTGGCTCAACCATGACTTTCGGAGGGATGATCGGTGCCATATTTAGCGGGAAAGTCGCAGATGTTCTTGGTCGAAGAGGGGTAATTTATCATCACTCATAAAATTATTGATCGAATATACTGTACAGTTCATGTTAGTCCCTGTGCTATACATTAAACAGAGGCATGCCAGTCTCGCGTTATGGTGAATTGATTTTCTCTCTTTTCCTGAATAACAGACAATGTGGTTTGCTCAAATTTTCTGCATTCCGGGTTGGCTTGCAATAGCATTTGCCAAGGTTTGCTTTTCCTTTTATCATTTCCATGAATTTATGGATTATTTCGAAACGCTGTTTCATATTTATTTCGAGATTGTAATGTTTTGGCATCTCGTGTAAAGGATTTTCTGTGGCTAGACTCTGGAAGGCTGTCAATAGGAATTGGTGTTGGTCTGTTTAGCTACGTGGTAATTTGATCATCTCTATTTTCTATCTTTCTCTTTTTTTCGATTCACACATTTACATCTCGTTGACTAAAAGATTCGTGTACAAGCAGATACCTGTGTACATTGCGGAAATAACCCCAAAACATGTCCGAGGGGCATTTGTGTTTGCGAATCAGGTACATAAGAATGATGAGGACTAAGAATTTAGTAGATTTTTGTATTTGCAGTAATAATGGTGTTAACTCGTTCCTTCCTTTGAACATAACAGCTGGTGCAGAATTGTGGCATTTCGCTTTTCTTCATCATCGGAAATTTCACTCCTTGGCGTAGATTGGCATTGATCAGTAAGATTAACTTTCTTCTTGATCTTCTCTGTAGATAAATTTTGGAATTTCTCTCTAACATAACTCACCCAACTTTCTTGCTTTCTAATGAATTTCATCTCAGGTTTCATTCCATGTGTTTTACAAGTTGTGGGTTTGTTCTTCATCCCAGAATCTCCGAGGTGGCTGGTATGCACTCGTCACAAAAAACCCGATCTTATCTATTACCAAATAGATCCTTTAGATCACCTAATGTTTGATCTTTTATAAAGTCAGTTAACTGATGCCTCAGCTCTGTTTTAAACGATTTGCAGGGGAAATGCGGACAAGAAAAAGAATGCAGAGCTGCATTGCAGCTTCTCCGAGGACAAGATGCTGACATTTCTCAAGAAGCCAATGCTATCAAAGTACAACAGCTTTTCAAAATTCATTTTTTTCTTCTTTTGTGTCCTGTTGTCCTTTTTGTAAAATTTGGTATTGAGGTGACGGATCTCTTAATAACTTCTTCTCAAATTCTCCTGCAGGAAACCATGGGCATGTTCGAACAAGGCCCAAAATCCCGGATTACGGACTTGTTTCAGAGAAGATATGCTCCATCGCTCATTGTAAGACTTTGGAGTGAGAAATGTTATTTACTCGTATCTTTGAGAAATATACGAGTACCTGGAGCTCTTTACTTGTTTACAGATTGGTGTGGGACTAATGCTTCTGCAACAACTATCTGGCAGCACTGGTATTACATACTACGCTAACAGCTTATTCGAAAGAGGAGGTAAAAATAAAGAACCGATATAGTTTTCATTTCACCATACAGATCGACAAATCATCTTATGGAGTGGCAAACTTTTTCTCCTTATAAGAGGACTAATGAATCCTTGATTTACCTTTTTTCGCGATAGGATTTCCTAGTAGCATTGGCTCAACTGTTCTTGCCATAATCATGGTACATCTTAGCACTGTTTCGTTCACTTGAGCATGCTCTGAATTTGGGGAAACATTCCCTCAAGGTATATTCATGTGCATATTTGCAGATACCAAAAGCCTTGATGGGTCTGATTTTGGTCGAGAAAATGGGACGGCGACCACTTCTTATGGTAAAATTTGAAATATTATCATCAAATACAAACACAGCATCTAAAAGTTGCATCTTTTCTAACAAATAAGTGAATTTTTGTAGATTTCTGCTGTTGGGATGTGCCTCTGCGGTTTGCTCCTTAGTGTGTCTTTCTCCTTACGGGTAATGACCAGAAGTGCTCAATAATTACCAAACTATGTATAAACTCTGGTAAAGCTTTCCCAGCGTGTTATTTGTTATATTAAATAGTGTCATCCTTGTTCTTTGATGAACAGTCACTTGGCCTTCTGAATGAGCTAACTCCCATCTTCACATGCATCGGTGTATTGGTACGTATGATCACTCTTCAAGAAAGATATCGTTAACCCTTGTCTATCAAATTCAGATAAACAGCCAAAACCCGTGTTCTCTTGGATATAAATCATCTGATTTTACATCTTCTGTTTCACAATTAGGGATCTATCACCACTTTTGCCATGGGCATGGGAGGCTTACCATGGATCATAATGTCCGAGGTAAAAAGAAAAAAGAAACGAAATTTTCTTCGCTTGGCCGTACGGTAACTTCTCCGAGAGACAAGTCTTTGTCCTAAAACTGGTGATCCAATCATTTTCTTCTGCAGATATTCCCAATGAACGTCAAGGTTTCCGCCGGGACCCTAGTTACCTTAGCTAACTGGTCCTTCGGATGGATCATTGCATATTCATTCAATTTCTTGCTTCAATGGAGTGAATCAGGTGCACATACATGCATACACATGTAATTTGTATATGCAAATGCAGAGGCATAGCCATAATCCATGGACCCAGTATGTCATTTTTCTCATACAATTCAAAACCACATGATAATCTTTGCAGGGACATTCTTGATATTCTCTGGCTTCTGTGCTGTGGCCATTGCATTTGTTTACGCCTTGGTACCTGAAACAAAAGGAAGAACCCTCGAAGAGATTCAAGCATCTCTTGCAGACTTTCTGCAATGACTACATACTATTAACCCGAAAATGGGTTTTCGATTTTTTTTTTTTTTGGGTTATTGTTTGCACATTTGATGCAAGAAGGAAGGGTTCACAATGCATTAGAGGGTCCAAAGCTGCCTCTCTGCAACTGCAAGTGCTCTTGTATCATCACCTGTTAGCTCCTTTGTATATAGTGCAACAGTTCTTTTGGTTAGCAAGTGAATCATGTAATTATTTTTTTATGATATTTTTTAATGAAAAAATATATCAGAAAAGAAAAGTATCCTGACTTTCTTACACTTAGATCATAACAATAATAGTGTTAAGGTTATACAATGTGTATTAATTGTTAAATGCATTAACTCTATTCTTATTTACCAATTTAAAATAAAATAAAATTTCTTAGAAGAATATTGTTTGAGCAATTAATTGTCCATCGATCACTTTTTAGTACTAAGTTCAAATTTTTATTTTAAAAGATTATATATAATGTTTAGATCATATTTCAATTTATTTTAGTTTCATTTTCCTTTTAGTTTTCATTAAAATGTTTATTTTAAAAAATTATATTTAGTCGATATATATATATATATTAAATTTAAGTGTAAATAACTTTATTCGCTGTAATTCGATGTATTTAAATATAGAGTGACAGTGGTCGATTTTTATTGCTTAGGTAGACTAATGAAATATAACTTTTCAGAGAATAATAATATATTTTATTATGATCTAATATTATATTCTGAAGTAGAAAAAGTAGATCTCTAAACTGAAATCACCTAAAAATAAATTTAACATGGCGAAGGAATGACGGAAATAGAAGCTCAGTAATCGTCAAATGCACAAAAGTAATATACTAAATTTATTGAATAAAAATGTAAAGAAACCATATGCTAAATGACTGAATATTATTTTATGTACTAAAAAATTCAAACAATTAAGTGAACTGTGCCATGACCAATGGTAATAATATTTTTTATATATATTTTAATAGTAGTATTTTTTTTTTTTGTTCTTATTTGGTCAACGATGGTTGGCTTACTCTCTTTAATTTGTAAAGGATGGCTTACTCTCTTTCTCCGTTGCTTCTTCATATAAAATTTGGAAAATTCAAAGTTAGATATATACGTCTGTCCATAGCAAAGACCATTTTTCCCTATATTTATGCTATATATTTCCACAAAATATTATGTAATTAAAAATCACTCTTTTCTTTTTCAGTCATGAATTAATTTTTGTTATAAAAATACTATTTAATAATTTGTTTGATAAATAAAAATATCTAAAATACCATAGTTTTATTTTTAATATTAAAATAGATAACTCATTATGAATAAAAAAGATAAATAACTTGTCATAATAATAAATGTCACTTAAATAATAGGATAGATAATCAAATTCCTAAAATATATAAGCAAAAAATATACAAATTTTAAAATATATTCATATGAATCGTTATTATTACAAAGCCATTATTTTGTAATATTTTTTAAACTTTTAAACTTTATTTCATTTGTGATATTCAAATTTATCTATAGTTTTTTTTTTAATATTTTTAATTTTATTTATAAAAAAACTATGGATTTGGTAATTGAAAGTATATCTTTTTTTTTTGATAAAGAGTAATTGAAATTTGAAAGTATATCAAACTCTGGTTGTGTCGTTGTCAAAGTCATCAACTAGAAAGACATGATGTTTGTTTGGTCTTAATTCTATATATAGTAATCTATTTTTGTACACAAACTAAAGTGATTACTTTAATTTAAATTGTGACAAACTAATAGTTAATGGTTAACAACATGTCAGGTCCTTTACTTACATTAGTTTATATTTTCTTTTAAATACTTTAACGTGATTTGAAATCTACTTTATTTTTATTTTTTATTTTTTATTTTTTATTTTTTTTTTGTACTTGTAAGTATTAGTGGAATAGAACTGGCAGATCAGATGTGATATCTCAAGAATCACTTGTGCTTGTTTTTTTCCCGAATGGAATCCACTTCAATGAACTTTGCAACCCAAAAGAAAAAAGGTTTTTTTTCCTCTATATATCGGAAAATAGTTTTTTAGTACTTTGAAAAAGTATATATATTTTATTAATATAATGTATTTGTCAGTTTTGAATGAAACCTTTTTTTTGGGACAATAGAAAAACATTGAAATCCTATAACATATACCAATTAAGATCATATAAATTTTTTTTGAAAATAAATTTCTTAATTTTTTTTTTGTGTTTATCATATTTGTAAAATAGTAAATTAACATATGTTACAAGTAAATCAGAAAAAATATTAAACCATCTCTAATGCCAACTTTTACTATAAAACCGAAAAAAGAAAGAAAGAGTGATTAATCCGTTCAGTTTATTTTGCCGATTAGAATTTTAGAGATATTTCATGAAAAACATTTTATAAAAAAAGAGAATGGCGTTTATTTTTTTCCTGATTTTATATAAATAAACTATATAAATCAATCGACAAGTTGACGAGGTCCAATGTATCTTAAGCAAAATTTGTAATTAATTCCAAAAGGAAAGAAAGAAAATATAAATACAACATTTCAGCCACGATAATTAAAATGAAGAAAATTTTCGATTAAATGGGATTAATCAAAGCGAGAAAAGTCGTCCATGACCGAATCAGAGATTCCACTGTTCAAATGCAGACGAAAAGCCAGAGTCCCTCCTGTCTTTCCTCATACGTTCCTCCATTGGTATAAATAAACTGCGTTCAAGATGCAAGCAAGAAAACCCATCTCGAAATTCTCAACCTTTCACCGGAGGATTTCCCGGAGAATCGTTCTCTGTGCATTTTTCTCGCCGGTTCTTGTGTTGGGTCGTCGGAGAAAATGGCGGTGGCGGAGAAAGAGAGTAACTTGGAAGCTGGGTTGCTGCAGAAGGATCAAAGCGACAATGAGGAGTGTCGTATCACTCTCGTTGTGCTCTTCAGCACGTTTGTTGCTGTTGCTGGCGCATTCTGCTTCGGCTGTGCGGTGAGTGTTCTATAATGTCTGCGAACTATTTGACGAAATGCCAATTTGGGATTTTTATTTTCTGTTTGCCTTTTTTTTTTCCAAATCCCAAATCAAATGCTTAATCGCACGAAAAGTTCTTGGCTTTTCCTTGCAACTGTTTCACATTGTTGATACGTATTCGGACATGTACATATACGAAGAGTTCTTGGATTTTGTTTACTGTTCCATTGAAGTAGCTCATTCAGAACCTGCTCTCTATCTGCAGATTATCTAAGCGTATAAATATGTATCTTTGAGTGTATACAAGCAGATGTATGTAAATGTACATGTAAATATCTCCATCTGTACATGGAATGAATGAACATGAACTGGTTTCTGTAGAATATGACTTCAAACTCATGAACATGTGGTCGGTTTTCGCAGGCGGGTTACTCATCGGCTGCTCATTCTGGAATCACAAAAGATTTAGGCCTCTCTGTTGCAGATGTATGCCATCACAACTGTTTTCTCACAATTCCTTCTCCTTTTATGCTATTTTATTTGAATCGATGTTTAAATATCGGTAAAGTATTACTTGGAGCATTCTTTTCTTTTAGAATTTTATCTTCTGATGCATCCGTATATGTATCTATTCTTTCTGCAGTATTCAATGTTTGGGTCAATAATGACATTTGGAGGGATGATCGGTGCTGTATTCAGTGGGAAGGTTGCTGATATTCTCGGTCGAAGAGGGGTAAGTTTATTGTAACTTATAAGACTGATATATTTGTGAATGTATACTTTCCAGACAATCACGAAGAAATACCCTTTTGATTTTAAGTTACTAATATTTGATTTCTCTGTTGTTTCTTGCAAAATCAGACAATGTGGTTTGCTCAAATTTTCTGCATTTCGGGTTGGCTTGCAATAGCATTTGCCAAGGTTTGCAATTACGATATTCTCTTTTACGTCGTTCATCTCCATCTTGCATTTTGTTTCCTATGGAAATGATCTTTCTAATGGTACTTCAAGATTGTAACTCTTATCAAAAACAATTTGTTTTCCTATGTATAGAATTCACTGTGGCTGGATGTCGGAAGATTATCGTTAGGATACGGAGTTGGTCTATTTAGCTACGTGGTAAGTTGGTCGTCTTTGTGTTGTCTCTGGTTTCTGTAGGTATATGTTTACTAAGAGATTCCTTCCTGTGCAAGCAGATACCAGTCTATGTTGCAGAAATAACACCAAAACATGTCCGAGGAGCTTTTGTTTTTGCAAATCAGGTGAGGAAGAGACAAATACGGGCCAACTATTTCAGATATAATTTCACAGTTTGCTTATATCTCTCTGTGATTTTCTTTAAAATGTAGATGATGCAAAACTGTGGGATTTCACTTTTCTTCATCATCGGGAACGTCATTCACTGGCGTACATTGGCGCTTATCGGTATGCTTAGCCTTTCGTCGGGGATTTGTCAATTACTTAAGAGTGGTTAAAGACTAAAGTATCCTAAATTCACGATTCTTTCATCTCAGGATTCCTTCCATGTGCTCTGCAAGTTGTGGGTTTGTTTTTCATCCCGGAGTCTCCAAGATGGCTGGTAAGCCCGAAATCATCAGACCCTTCAGAGTTTTAAACCCGAAACCGTTATCTTCTTGGAGAAACGAATACTCGGTGTTCATGATTTTCGTTTAAATTTTCCGCAGGGTAAATGTGGACGAGAAAAAGAATGTAATGCTGCATTGCAACGTCTCAGGGGACGTGATGCTGATATATCTCGAGAAGCCAATGCTATCAAAGTAAGAGTTTATTCAAAGAAGTACCCGAAGAAGTTGCCTTAGATTTAACTGTCTATGAATCGGAAATAACTAATTCTTTCTCAAATTCCCTATAGGACACCATGGACATGTTTGGTCAAGGGCCGAGATCCCGAGTTATGGACTTATTCCAGAGAAGATATGTTCCATCCCTAATTGTAAGTTTTCGGAATAAACTATTATCCTAAAAAAACACGTTTATTTGCAACACCGTAATAATGAATGTTTGTAAATATTTTTCAGATTGGCATTGGACTTATGCTTCTGCAACAGCTCTCTGGAAGCGCCGGTTTTACATACTATGCAAGTAGCTTATTTGAAAGTGGAGGTAAGCAAAATAACCGATTTTTTCTTTTTTTGAGTTAACATGATGATGAATCTTTAACCTTACAAATCTGTAATCCCCCTTCTTCTCATTACAGGGTTTCCGAGCAGCATAGGTTCGACCATTCTTGCCATAATTATGGTACATTTTCTACCCCTTGCACATGCTGCAGATTCAATAGAAGATATGTTATGTATGCGTGTGTGTTAATGTATATGTCCTCCATTACAGATACCAAAATCCATGATGGGTCTGATCTTGGTGGAGAAAATGGGACGGAGACCGCTTCTCATGGTAACGATTTTGGACATTATATCCTCGAGTGATCATAATTATGTAACGAAGAACAACAAAAAGGTTGAATCTTTTATAACAAATAAGAGTTTTTTACAGGCTTCTGCTGTTGGGATGTGTCTCTGTGGCTTGCTCCTCAGTGCTTCCTTCTGGTTCCGGGTAATGATACCTTAAAACCCTTAAATGGAACGAATATACGGTTTTCGGCCCTCGGGTTTTATATGAACGAATTTCTTGTAATCAACATGTGCAGTCAATTGGCATTCTTGATGAGCTCACTCCGATATTTACATGCGTTGGCGTATTGGTAAGTCTTGATCATCCTTCAAGAAAACAAACTACTGCAACCTCTAAAATCCGTGTTTCCCTTTCGTATAAATCAATTCTAATCGACGTTGTTTCTCCGAAAATTAGGGTTCTATAACGACTTTCGCCATGGGGATGGGAGGGTTACCATGGATCATAATGTCTGAGGTAAGCGGAACTTTTCCTCGTTTTTTCATCCGGGCATTTCTGGAACTCGGTCCTTGAAACGAGTGTCTGAATCATTTCCTTGCGTTCAGATATTTCCGATGAACGTTAAAGTCTCGGCTGGAACCCTAGTTACCTTTGCCAACTGGTCAGTGGGCTGGATCGTAACATACGCATTCAATTTCTTGCTGCAATGGAACGAATCAGGTAAACATATATATATATATGTATAATGTATGTATACGATCAAATACATGATGTTGCAGATTCAACAAGTTATTTTGTCTGAAATCTGAAATGGGTGTGAAATGTTTTGCAGGAACGTTCTTGATTTTCGCTGGTGTGTGTGCCGCAACTATAGCGTTTGTGTATATGTTGGTGCCTGAGACCAAAGGAAGAACACTGGAAGATATACAATCTTCTCTTTCGGATTTTCTCCAATGAGAAATTTCTTAAGCATGGAATTTAAGATTCGGTTATTGATTATATTCATTCTTTTGCTCTTGAAAATCGAGGGCCACAAGACGATTTATATATATACATATATATATATATGTATGTATGTATGTATGTGTATATATATATATATATATGTGTAAGAGGGTTTAGTGATAGTGTCTTGTAAGAGTTCTTTGAGTTTCAAGTTTGCATATATAAATATCCCACACTTCCTCAACACATTGTATCCACGAGGCATCCGTATATATACATTAGAAGCAAACCGTCGTTCATCAAAGCCGAGATCTAAGTTCCCGATCCCATGTCATGCATCAGAGTGAAAATGTCATGACTTATACAAAGCATACTGAACCCAACATCCAACATCACAGGATCGAATCATGAAAGTTGGCTAAATATACTTTCATTTCATCTCTAAATAGAACTACCTCAAAGAACCCACAAAAAGAACTACGCTACAAGATTAGTTTAAAGAGAACTTACGAGGAAATCGGGAGCATGCAGACAAAAACAAACACGGCTTCTCGCGGTGCGATGGACTCTCTTCACAGAGGCATGATGTTCTCAGCATGATCCGAGAAAGTCCAGATTCTACAAAGGTCAATTGGGAATCCAATATCTCTATTTCTTCTATATCCACGATCTTCGATGCCTTCAATCTCAACACTTCTGATACTATTTCCCTTGACATTGTAGTAGGTAACATAGAACGGACGATCAAAATACATTGGTGCAAAGATAATTTCATGGGAACAAGTGATGCCAATGACAAACAGATTTTTATGATCGAAGTACTTATGCCAAGCATGTATCTTGGACCATTCGTGTTTCTTAGCATCCTCCAGAATCCACAAATCATAACCAACAAAAGATCCTCCGTCAGCAATAGCTACTTTCCCCTGGTAGTTTATCAAAGTTAGACAGAAAAGACGCGACTTTTCTACATCCCCCAGAAATCTGATAGACCCAAACTCTTCAGATCTCACATCGAAGCTTACCAACACAAGTTCGTTCATATCCTTACCGGTGCAGGCTCCATAATATACAACTCCATTGACGCATTCCCCATCAGTTCCAGGACAATGAGGAACGCTACATTCTATCATTCTCCACTTTTCTCGAGCTCCCAATGTCAAAACTTGATGCTCCCCCGCTGCAACGTGCTTATTGTGGTGGAGATAATAAGCCGATAACTGCGTCATACACAACACTTTGTACTGATGATTGATCGGATCGTATCCGAAAAAGCATGTTATACCCTTTCTTCTAGATTTGATTTTGGGTAATGTTATGACCTGTCCTGTTGTGGGGTTACATATTAGCAATTGAACAGCAGCATTAGACAAGACTCTAGACAAGATCAAGCCGCCGACAGAGCGAGACGACATGTAGCACGACTCCGGAACCAGACATTTCCTACGATTTAGCGAAGACAGGGCATTGTCGTAAGGCGAAGAGGAGAAGAACAACATACTGTTTCTGTTTGATAATGTGAAGAGGAAACGCGGACGAGTCAGTGACTGAGTAAGGAACGAGTTGATGAGATCTCGACGACGAATGATTGGTACAAAGAGCTTCGACGCAGAGACGACCCTCACTAGGGATTTCGCAGGCAATCTCAACAGAATCTCCATCTTCAATTCCTGAGGAATTGAACCTGCGTCTTTTAGTTCCCCCGAGGTTTTCGGAGTCTGCGTACTCCTTTCGACCTTCTTCTTCATCTTCATCTTCTTTTTCTCCCTTATGCAATCCTGCTTTGGCCTAATCATGGCGTCGAAGAACCCTAAATCCCTAGGCTCAATCTGATTATTTTCTTCTTTTACATGTTTTTTTGCAGCTTTTATATTTTACATTCGAAATAGTATTTTTTTCACGTGTGAAAATCCTTTAATATGAGACACGTGCGAATATCCTTTAATGTGAGGCACGTGCGAATTCTGCATTTAGATAATGTAAACGTTCGCATCTAATTGATCTCGTCTAATCCATTAAAGTATTTAGAAAAGTATAATGAGTCCAAAGTAAAGTCCGGAAAGTATCTTTTATACTGGGTTCAAATCAAGCATGGAGATGAACATTCACATGGACTTTCCCCAATCTTATGGGAGATGTAGTCGGGTTAAAGTAACTTCCAGATTATTAAAAAAAAAAATCTTGCAATTTTTTTTCGTTTAGAATTAACCAATTTAGTTACATATTGATTTAACATTTTTTTTTCTTTCTAAGATTTATTATATAGATAAAAATTCTTACCGACTAGACTATTCGTCCAATTTTATATTTGTTTTGAATTTTTAGGTGTCGATTAAAATTTCTTAAAATTCATTTTTTATAAAAAAAATCTATTTATAAAAATTGCTTTGATCTATCTGTCATTTATTTTACATATTTAGGTAGTGTTAGAAAAAGGCGATTATTTTTTCATATCACTCCATTAGATTCAGCTTGATTCGATTTTACATAATTAATTCGAATATCTATCCAACCCTACTTGTCATGTGCAGTATTTTGCTGAACCACAAGCCCACTTCTGGTCGGCTAAGAATGCTTAGTGATAAGATGGTTTGGTGATATTATATAGAGTGGCCATTTCGATTTCGGTTTTGATTATATTCGAGTTTTGTTATTTTGGTTACAGAAAATTATAATCATTCAGTTTTTATATAAAATTCGGTTCTAATTCGGTTTTTTCTTATGAAAAACTCATTTTTCCAAAGAAATTGTCAAATTTTTTTGGTTTTTTTTAATCGGTTCGGTTTCAATTTTTTTCACATTTAGAGGAATCATAACCATTCGATTTTTCTATCGGATTCGATTCGATTACGGTTATGTCTTATTCGATTACGGTTATGTCTTATTCGATTCGGTACAACTATTCGGTTAGTAACCAAAATGGTCACCCATAATACTTTCTCGTGATCCAAATTTGCATATATACCAATTTCTTGGGGCACAAGTTATTTTTCCTTCTCTCCTTTTTCCCTCTCCGTATAATGTTAAAATGTTCCACTCCAATGAAGTAGATATATATATATATATATATATACACACATATATGTATTGTAATATATAGAATTCTCATATACCACTTGACTTGTAACAGAGTGGAACCTTTTAACTGATGGATTCCAGGATCAATAACTCTATTGTCTCAAGATTCAATGGCCAAAGCAACAGGGAACATTGATTGGTCCTTCAAGGGCAGCAAACCATTACGAACTACACAATGCCTAGCGATTAGAAACTAAGTCCGACTTGAATCAGAAGAACTGCAAATGGAATCCTACATAGTACATACACAGCCTTCAATAAAACAGATGTTATACATACATATATATGTGTGTGTGTGTATATATATATGGTATTCTTGTAGCACTTGCCTCATGCTAGATTTCCCACACTTCCTAACATATTGTATCCACAACGTGAGCTTAGAATAGGGGAGGCTGCAAATGCCATTATATGTAGTAGGAGCAAACCTCCATTCATGGAAGCAGACATCCACAGTGAAAATGTTACGAGATACTACAGATGAAAACTGTCTACATATACGTTCATCTCTAAATTCCGGATAATCCCATCTCCTATCGGGTTAGAGAAAATTTACGAGGAAATGGGGAGGCCAGGAACCAGTAGGAGGTCTGACCCGATAGAGGACTCTCTTCACAAAGGCATGATATTCTCGGCGTGATCCGAGAAGGTCCAGATTCTACAAAAATCGCTTGACAATCCCACATGCCTACAAAAATCACTCGATAATCCCAAGTACCTATTTCTATATCCATGATCGTCGATGCCTTCAATCTTAACTCTTCTGATACTGTTTCCCTTGCCATTGTAGTAGGTAACATAGAACGGACGACGGAAATGCATTGGTGCAAAGATAATTTCATGGGAAGTAGTCGTGCCAATGACAAACAGATTTTTATCATCGAAGTACTTATGCCAAACATGTATCTTCGACCATTCGTGCTTCTTAGCATCCTCCAGAATCCACAAATCATAACCAACAAAAGGTCCTCCATCAGCAACGGCTACTTTCCCCTGGTAGTTTATCAAAGTTAGATGGAAAAGACGTGACTTTTCTACATCCCCCGGCAATCTGATAAACCCAAACTCTTCAGACCTCACATCGAAGCTCACCAACACAAGTTCGTTCATATCCTTACCAGTGCAAGCTCCATAATATACAACTCCATTGATGCATACCCCATCAGTCGCAGGACAATGAGGAACACTACATTCTATCATTCTCCACTTTTCTTGAGCTCCCAATGTCAAAACTTGATGCTCCCCCGTTGCAACGTGCTTATTCTCGTGGCGATGATAAATCCTTAACTGCGTCATACACAACACTTTGTACTGATGATCGATCGGATCATATCCGAAAAAGCTTGTTACGCCCTTTCTTCTAGATCTGATTTTGGGTAATGTTCTGACCTGTCCTGTTGTGGGGTTACATATTAGCAATTGAGCAGCAGCATTAGACAAGATCAAGCCACCGACAGAGCGAGACGCCATGTAGAACGAATCCGGAACCAGACATTTCCTACGATCTAGCGACGGCTGGGCATTGTCATAAGGCGAAGAGGAGAAGAACAACATACTGTTTCTGTTTGATAATGTGAAGAGAAAACGTGGGCGAGTCAGTGACTGAGAAAGGAACGAGTTGATGAGATCCCGACGACGAATGATTGGTACAAAGAGCTTCGACGCAGAGACGACCCTCACTAGGGTTTTCGCAGGCAACCTCAACAGAATCTCCATCTTCAGCTCCTGAGGAATCGAATCTGCGTTTTTTAGTTCCTCCAATCTTTTCGAAGACTGTGTACGGTCTTCGATCTTCTTCGTCTTCTTGTCCCTTACACAATCCAGCTTTGGCCTATGCCCATTCATGGCGTCGAAGAACCCTAAATCCCTAATCCGATCTTGATTTTCCAACGCTAAACTTGAATCTCTTTTTCTTTTCCGTTCCACGTTTTTCCTTCTTTTACCAGCTTCGAATCATTTAATATGAGGCACGTGCGAGAACAATATGAGGCACGTGCGAATTCCGCATATGGGTAATGTAAATATATGTGCGTATTTAAATTGATCTCTATTAAATTACTTGGAAAATTGGAATAATTCCAAAATAAAGTTATAATTTTTTTCCGTTTAGAAATTAACCAATTTAGTAACATATCTATTTAACATTTTTTATTTCTCAGTTTTGTTATATTACCAACATTTTTTTGTACGTACGTTTGCCTATAGATAATGCAAACATAAGACCAAAAAAAATTATTTCTGTCACGGTACAGACTCTGGAATGTCGAAAACTTTCTGATGTTATTCATGAATGCAGAGACGAACATATATACAGACTTTACAACCATAATCTCTAAACCTAGTATCAACCAAATAAAGGAAACAGAATAATTGACATGTTAGTTTCCTTTTTATTTTAATATACATTATATGGTAATACCCTCCCTCAAGTTGGAGCATATAAATCGTATATGCCTAACTTGGATAAGAATGTGTCAAACTCCTTTTTGCCGAGAGGCTTGGTAAAGATGTCGGCGAGCTGGTTGGTAGACGAAACATGCTTGGTGACGATGGCCTTGGAAGCAATATGGTGACGTAGAAAATGACATGCGACCTCGATGTGCTTCGTACGATCATGAAATACATCATTAGCCGCGATATGAAGAGCTGCTTGACTGTCACAGTGAAGGATCATAGAGTCAGAGTGATTTACACCGAGAGCACGAAGCAAACCTTTTAGCCAGAGGAGCTCGCATATGGTTACTGCCATCGAACGATATTCGGCTTCGGCAGATGACAAAGAGATGGTGTGTTGTTTCTTGGACTTCCAAAAAACCGGCGAGGTGCCAAGTTGTATCAGCCATCCGGACAAAGATTTACGAGTGCGTTGACAGCCCGCCCAATCAGAATCACACCAAGCATACAGCCGAAGATCCGAATCTGCGCGGAGCAAAATACCTTGTCCCGGGTTGCGTTTCAAATACCGAACCACATGTAACGCAGCGTCCCAATGATCAGTCCGCGGCTCCTGCATAAATTGCGATAGTGTGTGAACGGAATAAGTTATATCTGGGCGTGTTGCCAACAGATACAGTAAACGGCCAACGAGTCTCCGATAAGGCTCAGGATCTGGAAGAAGCGGACTCTTCGAAACAACGAGCCTGTGATTTTGATCCAAGGGGAAAGAAGATGGTTTGGCAGCGAGAAGACCAGTCTCCTGTAATATGTCGAGCGTGTATTTCCTTTGAGACAACGAAATTCCTCGAGGACTGCGTGCAACTTCGATACCCAAAAAATATTTTAACGGTCCGAGGTCTTTCATGTTGAAACATGTGCTGAGATAATCTTTAAACCCTTTCAGAACAGAGGACGAGCTAGCCGTGATGAGAAGGTCGTCTACATACACCAGAACGTAGAGCTGAGTCTGAACCGTGTTGACAACGAAAAGTGAATGATCAGATTGTGATTGTTGAAACCCATATCCGAGCAAAGCCGAGGACAGTTTTGCAAACCAACATCGAGGAGCTTGCTTGAGGCCGTAAAGCGACTTCCTAAGACGGCAAACTTGGTTCGGGCTTGAAGGAGTGAAACCGGGAGGAAGTTTCATATAAACTTCGTCCCCAAGATCACCGTGCAGAAAGGCGTTGTGCACATCCATTTGATGAACATCCCATGTTCGAGCTGCGACAATGGCGAGGAAAGTGCGAACCGTCACCATTTTTGCTACCGGAGCAAAAGTCTCGTCGTAGTCTACACCTTCAGTTTGTTTGTTGCCGAGAACGACTAGACGAGCCTTGTGGCGTTCAATAGTACCGTCAGAGTGATATTTGGTTCGAAACACCCACTTGCAGCCAATCGCTTTCTTGTTCGGAGGAAGAGGTTCAATCGTCCAGGTTTGATTTTGTTCGAGTGCAGCGATCTCAGTTTGCATTGCGTCTCGCCAACGCGGATCTTTAACAGCTTGCTTGTATGTTCGAGGTTCAGTGTGGGACTCGACCGCAGCCAAGAAAGCTTTGTGTTGCGGAAGAATATTGTTGTAGGAGACAAAATCTGAAATCGGAAACTGAGAGCTCGAAATTGAGGGAGCAGAGTTCATTAGGGACGAAACTCTCACAGCATTTGTCACAAAATCCTTTAATCTCACATTCTGAAATCGTTGGCGCTGACCTCTACCAAGTTCGGTGGATGCTGTCGGAATTTCAGATGAGAGAATAGGAGAAGAGGTCGGTGAAATAGCGAGTTCGAGAGACTGAGAATGTGGGCTGTGCAAAACCGACTGAGAGCTTGCCATCGAATTCGGAGAGTCCACATCAAATTGATCAGAAAAAGGTGAGGCTGTAGCAGCAATGTCGTTCACTGGAGAGGTAGCTTGTATTTCGGAATGTGGAACAGATGATGTAGATGGAGACGGGAGGATGCGAAAAACATCATCAGCAGCATCATGAACTGGCGGCAAAGGAGAGGTGATCAGACCTGGCACTGGAACAACATCGACAACAGTTTCAGAATATGGAAACTTAGTCTCACAGAAGACAATATCTTGAGATACTAGAAATTTCTGCGAGTCAAGGCTGTAAACACGCCAACCCTTTTGGCCAGGGGGATATCCGACAAAAATACAAGGAGAACTTCTTGGAGCAAACTTGTCTCCTCCTCGGTTTTGATCGTGCACATAGCAAAGACTACCGAAAACCCGTAAATTATCATATGGTGGTGCAGTGCCATGGAGAGCCTCGTAAGGAGTTCGACCATTAAGCAATGACGAGGGAGTGCGATTAATAAGATACGCATCCGCAAGTACACTCTCGCCCCAAAACTTAACTGGAAGATGAGCTTGGAACAGTAGCGATCGAGCAACATTGAGAATATGTCGGTGTTTTCGTTCAACTCGACCGTTTTGTTGAGGTGTCCCAACACAAGATGTTTCATGGACAATGCCGTGTTCAAAGAAAAATCATGTCATACTCATGAATTCAGAACCGTTGTCAGATCTAACCTTCTTGACGAGAGTGTTGAATTGTCGTTCAACCATGGCAATGAAATGTCGGAGTTTGGTGGCTACGTCGGATTTGTTTGGTAACAAATAGATCCAAACAGTTCGAGAAAAATCATCAAATACGGTCAGAAAGTAACGAGCTCCCGAGGACGAAAGAGTACGATACGGGCCCCATACGTCACAGTGGATCAAATCAAAAACTGCCGTAGCTTTATTAGTGCTCAAAGAGAAGGAATCTCGAGTTTGTTTGGCTCTCAAACAGACATCACAATGTTTCGTTTCAGAACAAACATTACGAGGAATACCCAAAGTCGAAATCTTGGAAATAACTTGAGGTGAAGCATGACCCAAACGTCGATGCCATAAATCAAAAAACTGGAGATCTTGTGCCCGAGTCGCTGCAACAGTTGCCGCTTCCCGAAAATAGTACAAACCCGCTCGTTGTTCACCCACTCCAATCAGCGTCTTGGTAGTCCGGTCCTGAAGAACACAGAAAGTACGAACGAACGTAATAAAGCAGTCACAATCGTCCAAGAGCTGAGAGATTGAGATCAGATTGCATTTTAAACCCGGAACGAACAGAACATTCGTCAGTCTGAGACGTTGACCCAAAAAGACTGATCCAGACTTAACCGAGAAAACCTCTCTGGCATCAGGTAAGATAACAGAGTATGGTGACACTGTGGTAACGTCGAACAAGCAGGAAAAATCTCCTGTCATATGGTGCGAACAACCTGTGTCAAGGATCCAAAGAGATTGCTTACCCGATAGAGGTGCAGAGACTCCGTGATTGTTGGTCTTGAGCAAATTTATCAGAGTTTGCCACTGCTCCGCTGTGACTCCAGGGAGACTCTGTTTGTCTGCTTCGAGAACTGGTGGAGGAGCACTTGTGATGACAGGTGCAGCAAAGGCAGCGTTCGCGCTGGCAGATTTTCCGATGATTCTGTCTCCGGTTGGTTTTCCCTTGGAGCGACCGGCCCCCATTCGATGTCTAGGGCGATCTCCCTACCAATCAGGGAAACCAACAATCTGGAAACACACCTCGGCCAGATGACCCATGCGTCCGCAGTTCGTGCAGATAGTCTGGTTGTCGCGATCTCGTTCTTCCAGTTTCGGTTTTGGTTTCTGTCCTGTCCTTACAGAGAAGGCAGCATCATCGATTCTATCATCCAGAACAGAGGAAACTTGGCGTGTTTCTTCGTCTTGAATAACAGCATTATAGGCTTCCTCCAATGTGGGCAAAGGTTGTCGAGAGAGCAGATTCGAGCGGACAGTACCGTATCTGCTTTCATCGAGACCCAAAAGAAACTCAAATAATTTGTCTTCATTTCGTTCCTTTTCGAGTAATGCACCAATGTCACAAGAGCAATGTCCACAATGACACGTTTTCAAAGATCTGAAATTAGCAAGATCGTCCCAAAGCTTGGTAAGCTTGCCAAAGTAAACTTCGATTTTCAGCCCATGCTGTCGGCAGTTCGCAAGATCAGATCGGATGCGAAGAAGCCGTGGAGCGTTGGTTTTGCCAAAACGTCGTTTCAGGTAATCCCACAAGTCTGTGGCGTATTCTCGGTGCAGGACATCAGAACGGAGATGCGGTTCGAGTGTATTTTTGATCCAAGATACAATCAAAGCATTATTTGTATCCCAATCTTCAAAATCCTCTGATGTCGGGTTCGGTTTCGAGATCGATCCATCAACAAAACCGAATTTCTTTCGGGATTTCAGAGATTGACGAATGTTGATGGACCATTCGTCGTAGTTTTCTCCACGCAACAAAGGCTAGGAGAGAACCAAACCAGGATTGTCGCTCGGTGTCAGGTCGTACGGTGAAATTGTGCGCCGCTGAGCAACCACTGGTTCCGATGTCTGGAAAGCAGTGTTCATTGGCGCAGTCATGTTCGAGGGGTCGGGAATCGGTGTCGGATGAGTCGAGTCGAGTCGTTGTTGTTGCCGGAAGCCATTCGGACGAGATTCAGTTTTGTGTTTGTGTTTTAGAGCTCTGATACCATGTCACGGTACAGACTCTGGAGTGTCGAAAACTTTCTGATGTTATTCATGAATGCAGAGACGAACATATATACAGACTTTACAACCATAATCTCTAAACCTAGTATCAACCAAATAAAGGAAACAGAATAATTGACATGTTAGTTTCCTTTTTATTTTAATATACATTATATGGTAATAATTTCTTTTGCAGATCATAATTGCAGTTAATTAGGGGTGTCTCATATGAAATAATTTTACGTTTGTATTGAAGAGTTGAACTCTAGTGATGCATTTATTTCCCAAGAGAGAGAGAGAGAGATGTGAATGCGAGTAAGCATGGTTTATGAAAAATAATAATTTTTAATATTTGCATTAGTTAAAAGCTAAATATTGCAAATTGAACCTATTGTTTGTAACCAATTAATTGAACAATTATGTAATAACAAAATTTTATTAATAAAGATTTGGACGGTCGTAATTTTCTTGTTATAAATACTAGGGTAAAACCCCTAAAAAACCTCCAACTTGCAAAAATATATACAAATAAACCTTCAACTTGAAAAACTATCATTTAATCCCCTAACTTGTAACTTGTCACTAAATAAAACCTCGAGCTTGCAAATTATTGCTCTAATAAATCTTTGACCGGTTTGACCACAATTTCAGGCGATCGGAAATCTACGTATTAACGGATTGCTGATGTCACCTTATACACGTTATCAATTTCAATTTAAAAAATGATATCAGCAATCCGTCAATATGTGGATTTCCGATCGTTTGAAATTGTTGTCAAACCGGTCAAAGGTTTATTAGAACAATAATTTGCAAGTTCGAGGTTTTATTCAGTGACAAGTTATAAGTTCGGGGATTGAATGACAGTTTTTCAAGTTGAAAGTTTATTTGTATATATTTTTGCAAGTTGGAAGTTTTTTAGGAGTTTTACCCTAAATACTAATATCGTCAAGTTGACCGGAGTTGGACAAGATCCTTGGATGCGTGGCTGCTTCAATGTGTTCACAGATTACGGTGGTCAAGGTTTTAATGAAAATGATTTGTTGTTACAAGAAAATTAATTCTTCCTCTTCATTCAGAAACAGTCCATTCAACCAAATGAGACGAGGATTTGCACTGCCACGTAGACTACATAAATTAATTATTCGTTCTTACAAAGTTTACACATTATCTTCTGGTGTGGATTTTTCGATTTTATAAATAATCATATCATTATTCATCCAATTTTTATGTCCGCTTTTTTTTATAAGCTAAAACTCCAATTCGTTTTGGTTTAGGATCACAAAATACAATCGATTCGGTTCATAAACCGATTCGGTTTTCAAAACTGAATACCGATCGACCGGACCCGGTTCTATCGGTTCATGGGAAACCGAAGGTCAAAGGCAGAGAGATCCATCAAACTTGGCGAATGAATTTTAAATAACAACCGCAGCAATGAAAATTGTCATTAATTATTGCAAATCAATAATAGAAAAAAGGGTTTTTAAATATTTAAAACAGCTTGCATATTATCCAAATTCTCAGTACACCCTGTTGGTCAGACGACGCCCGCGTATACATACATACATACATAAATGCGTACATACAAGATCCATACCTGTATATAGCCAGGGGCCGACCAAGGTGGGGTCATGACTCATAACCCCCGTTTCATTAACTAAAAAATAATTTTTTTATTATAAAATTTATCAGATGCTCCATAAAAATAAAATTTATCTTTATAAAATGATATGTATTAGATTATTGCTTCCTTTTTATAAAATTTTCTAGATCCAACATTGCGCATATATATATATATACACACACACACATACATCCATACATGCATGTATCTATATTTGTGTGTGTGTCTCTTTCTGAAAAAAGTCTTCGTTTATGGGGGACGACGACCCATTCTGAGGTTTTATTTAAAGACCAAATATTATATAAAGAGCGGAAATGTTGTGAATAAACCCACGTATGACCAAATCAACTTGGATGTTATATATACCATATAGCAAAGTATTTAAATATTTATTTCTTGATAGATTACAACTTCCACTTGTGAATTTGCATATATATATATATATAATCTCTCGAAAACTTCAAACATCTAACCTATCATCGAGCCAAAAAAACTCATATTGCTCATAGCTTTTCTCGATTTTTTTTTTTCCATCAAGACTCTTTAAAGAACAAAAAAAACAAGGGAGAGAAAGCTATGGAGAGACAGGTTAGTAACCTGGAAACAGGGTTGCTGAGAAAAAACCTAAGCATAAGAAGGGTCCATAACGACGACGTTTTCCTGGACGCGGGGCTTTCACGAAGGGCGCCGACACCGAGAGAGGCCAAGAAGCTTCTAAGCGACGACGCTTCTCTCGAGTCGGGGATTTCACAAAGGGCGCCGACACCGAGAGGACCCAAGAAACTCCTAAACGACGACGTTGAATGTCGCGTTACCGGTTCCGTTCTTCTCAGCACCTTCGTCACCGTCTCGGGCTCCTTCTGTACCGGTTGTGGGGTGGGTTCTATTTTCTCGGTTTTTAATTTTGAACCGGTTTAGTTTGGTTCAACCGTTCAAGGTTCGAGTGAGCACTTCGGAGCCTAAACCGGTTTGCACTCCGATTATTTTATTGTGGTTATCCAGATTGGATTTGAGCGATTATTAAAAGCTTTAAACGCAATAAATCTGGTCCGATTGATAGCTTAGTTGGATATAAACCGGTTTTCGGCTATTGAAAGCTCCAAACCGGTCTAAACTTTGTTTTTTATTTAGTTAATTAGTTGGCGGGTTATTAAAAAAAAGAAGAAAAAAAAAAGGTTTTTCCGAGTTTAGTCAGTTTTGTATTTGATTATTAAAAGGTCGAAAACTGAAATTTTCGCCTGTGATTCCAGTCGTGGTTAATGTATTGAACCACCGGTTTAGCTAAACCGGCCTGATTGACGAGTATGTATTTGTATTGTAGGTCGGTTATTCATCGGCTGCTCAATCAGGCATCACAAAAGAGTTATCCCTCTCCGTCGCAGAAGTAATTATCTTTTACGTTTTTAATTTCAATTTGCATTGTTCTCCTTAAGTTTGTATTATAATTTCGCCATTGTCATTTTGATTTATAATCTAATGTATTTGTTTAATTGTATAGTACTCGATGTTCGGGTCCATTTTGACTTTTGGAGGAATGATTGGTGCGATATTCAGCGGAAAAATCGCCGACGTCTTGGGAAGAAAACGGGTAAACACGGATATTTTTTTATAAATATATTTTTAGAAATGATATAAAAAACATAATGACAATTAGAAAATATAATTTAGATAATCAATATATGATTAAAATGAATAAAATTATTTTTTTAGATTGAGTATATTTTGTTTCATATGAAATTATATAATTAAAGAAGAATGAATCTGAATTAAATATAAAAATTAATTAAAAATGAAAAAAAATATATTTTAAAATAAAATCTGAATCTGAGTAAAAATACGAATAAAATAAATAACCTGATATAAAAATCGATTAATATAATATTTATAACGGAAAATACTAAACCAAAGTGAAATCCAAATCCAAATGCCTAATTACAATTATAACAAATATAAAGATAATAATAAATATATTTTAGTTTAGTTCGGCATGGCAAAATTGTTCCGAATTCTGCCATTCCCAAACCAAAATTGAGAATCTGTAAACCGATGTGACCGGTTATCGTTCACCAAATCGGTTCATTCTAACGTTATTTTTTTATTTGGTTTATCATTTATGGGTTGGAACAGGCAATGTTGTTTGCTGAAATCTTCTGTGGAGCCGGTTGGCTTGCAATAGCATTAGCTCAGGTTTTTAATATTTACTATTGTTATATCTAACTTAATTATTTTCGGAATAATTATTTTTTATAATTTTTGTTCTAATTTACTAAATTAATTAGTTAACAACATTTGAAGGATGCAATGTGGCTCGATTGTGGAAGATTGCTACTTGGAGTTGGCGTTGGTTTATTTAGCTACGTGGTAATTAATACTTATTTTACTTTCAAAATTATTGGATTTCTAATATATTTTTTCCATGGAATATTTAGTGAATACTGATCCAATTATTATTTTTTATTTTTCGATTTAGATTCCTATATATATTGCAGAAATTTCACCAAAACATGTTCGAGGGTCATTCGTGTTTGCCAATCAGGTGCGTAAATTATTATAATATAGTTGGAATTAAAATGTTGCATTAATAAAAGGGTTAGTTCGCTAAACCAACTAAATTAAATTGAACCTAACCGTGATCTTGGACTAAAAGTTTCTATTTTATATTGTAGTGAAAATTTGATTTGATTCACTCATATATGTATATATATTTAAGATTATATAGTTTTTTTAATCATACTTTTTTTTTTCAAATTTAAAACAATTTGCAGCTGATGCAAAATTGTGGGATCTCGCTTTTTTTCATTGTCGGAAATTTCATTCCTTGGCGAATATTATCAATAATCGGTAGGCTTTTTAATTTGATTATCTTAATTTAATTATTAATTATTTTATTTTTCTTTAATTTCGTCTAATTTTAATTGCCATATTCCCAGGTATGGTCCCGTGTGTTATTCACGTTTTCGGTTTGTTCTTCATCCCCGAATCTCCAAGATGGCTGGTAAATTTAATTTTTATTCCAAAATCAAATTAATTTATTTGTATTTTGTAAATTTAATTTTGTTTCGATCTTTCTTTAAACCGTTGAAAATAGAAATCGATATTCCCATTTACATCTGGATAATATCGGTATTTTTTCACGAGATTTAATATTTCAATGAAATTTATTATTATGTTTTGTTTTTTTTAAAGGCAAAATTCGGTCGAGATAAAGAATGCAGAATAGCATTGCAACGCCTCAGGGGCCACGACGCCGATATTTCTTACGAGGCAAACGCAATTAAGGTACGAATATTTTGTTTAATCACTAATAATTTAAATATTTTCTTAAAATATTATATTCAACTCTTCTATTTTTATTTTATTTTAAAAATATTCTGTATTTTTTCCCTAGGATTCGGTTGAATCATCGTTACAAGGTGGTGGATCTCGAATGACCGACTTGTTTCAAAAACGATATGCCTATCCAATGCTTGTAAGTAAATAAAAAAAAAATTACACATATTTCGTAAAAGTTTTGGTATAAAATTAATTATTTAGTTTATCATGTGTTCGTGTCCCTATCGTGCTTAAATTTACATTGATTTTGTATTTTGTTATACAAATTGACAATATTAATGTTTTTGAATAATCTAGTAAAAAATCAATTATATATACACACACATATATATATAATAAATGTCACAATTTTTTTGCTTTATTGTTATAAAATAACAAATAATTAAATATTATCATCGTTATTCTTTTTAAATTGTTTTTTTTTTTTAAAATCAGATCGGAGTTGGTTTGATGCTCTTCCAACAATTGTCTGGCAGCTCGGGAGTTACCTATTATGCTAGTAGCCTATTCCAAAGGGGAGGTATATTTATTTTATTTTCAAATAATTTCATTTTCTGTGATGGTGGTCATGATCATGATATCGTGATGATGATGATGATGATGGTCATGTTATTCATGGTCATGATGATGGTCACGATGATTGATAATTGATGGTAATGATGATAACCGGTTTATGATTATTTGCAATTTTTATTTCAGGTTTTCCAAGCGCTATTGGCACAACCGTTTTGGCGATAATCATGGTAAATAATATATTAGAAAATAAAAGTAAATAATGTTTGCGCAAAAGATTTAAAAAATTTAAGTATCATTTTCTATATGTTTATAATTCTTGTATTTTTACAGATACCAAAAGCAATGATGGGAACTATCTTAGTCGAGAAAATGGGACGAAGAGCACTCCTTATGGTCGGACCTAAAATTGAAATTGTTCATTTTTATATTGAATTAAGTAATATATTATATTATTATTATTATTTAAAATATTATATATAAATTTCTAAAAGATTTGGTGAAATAATTTGTTTTTTGCAGGGCTCTTGTGCTGGAATGTGTTTGTTTGCCTTGCTCCTAAGCGTTTCCTTCTGCTTTCAGGTAATTAATTATACATAGATCTGCATTGATTTACATAAACAGGCATAATTTTTTGGCCTAATAATAATAATAATATGTTTTTTATATATAATCCTTTTTTTGGTAAAATGTTTTAATATATAATTATTTGTTAGTAATATATATTTCTTTTATATATTTTTTTTATGATGAACAGTCACTTGGCGTCCTGGAAGAGCTGACTCCGATCTTCACGTGCATAGGCGTATTGGTAAATCAATTTAGATGCATTGTCAAATTATATAAAATATTGTTTAAATATATAGTAGAGTTTCTATAAAATTATAAATTAATAAAAATAAAATATAAATAAGATACATTAGTATATAATTGATTATAAAATGTACTTTCTAAACCAATCATGTTTTTTATATGATTTTTTCGTACAAATATTTTTTTGTTTAATCGTTATTGCAATGTATATTTGGTTTCAATTAGGGACATATCGTGACGTTTGCGATGGGAATGGGAGGACTACCGTGGATTATAATGTCCGAGGTAATTTATAATACACAATTTCGTATTTTATTTTCAGGAAATTGACTGGTAAATTATTCCAACTATGGTTTAATATATAATAAATCGAATAATTTTATTTTTTTTGCAGATATTTCCTATGAACGTGAAAGTTTCAGCGGGAACCCTAGTGACCTTGACCAACTGGTCCTTTGGTTGGATCATTACATACGCTTTCAACTTCTTGATGCAATGGAACGCGGCAGGTAAACCACGCATTTAATAACAATGATTCGATTTTATGTAATTAAAAACATTGTTTAAATAACCGATTTATATAAAATTTATTTTCAGGAACGTTCTTGGTTTTCTCGACCGTCTCCGCTGCTTCGATCGTGTTTGTTTACATGTTGGTTCCCGAAACGAAAGGGAAGACCCTCGAAGAAATACAAGCATCGTTCTCAAATTTTCTTCGATAGTATCATAAATATATATATATATATATATATATATATATATATATATAGAAATTGATGTCATATTCCATTTTCATGTCATAAAATCGATTATTGTGGTTGTGCGAATTGTGATTTTGGGGAAATAGATTGAATAAAAGTTATTTCGGGTTGATTAATTATTATTTGTTATATTTTTTATGTAAAGGGTTTTTGTTTTTGTTAAAATTCCAAATCAAAGAGTGTAAGATCTTGGTTTAACGTGGAATTCAATCGGAACAAAATATGAAAATAATTACATAAACCAAATAAAAACAAAAAATCGTTTTAGATAATGAATATTTTTTTAAATGAAAACGAATGTTAATTAAATTGAAAAAAATCATTATAGAACCAGATTATATAGTATCAAATAAACATAATTTTTAAAAATTTAAATAACTGAGTCGAAATAATTAAAAAAAAATGTGAAAACGTTACCCACATTTGGGCCTTTGATGTTGCTATTGTTGACCCATTGGGCTTTTGTTGGGCTTTTTTCAATTTCTACGTCTTTAATATCTTTTCTCCAAAAAAAAAAAGGCACAATAATTAAATGATTAGAGCATGGCTTAATGTTGACATAATCAATGAAAAGCAGAATATAAATATGAAGCAAAATCGACATGTAGACAAGTTGAAGCCTTTTATTATTTTGTAATATTTATTTGGTGTGTGGTTCTATCTTTTTGACCCAATAAACGCCTTTAGTACCATTTTCTTTTTCTAAAAAAAAAAACAAAGATTACTACAATAAATCGCAACAATTATCAAAATAACAACAGCTAAATAAATAAAAAATAAAAAAGAAAATCTTAATTAAAGATCCTGTCTTTCCACAATCATTCAGTTTGTCCGTTAAATAATTTTCAAATCAATCTTGAGATGATATATATTTTTAATGTGAATCCGAGTTAGATCACTGCCTTACTTTTGATGACGTGGCATACGATGGTTGGTTGACCATTTGAACACGTTTTCGTCGTTCCAAGTTCAACTATAAAGACCAAACCCAAGCAAACAGGCAAAGTCCAAGAAAGAAACCCATAACTTAGGGGAGAGAGAGAGAGAGAGAGAGGTAGGATAAGGTGCGGGATGGTGCAGGAGAACAAGCTGCTCCCGAAGCGCATCATATTGATGCGTCACGGCGAGTCCGCCGGGAACATCGACGCGGCGGCGTACTCCACGACGCCCGACCACAAGATCCCACTAACGGAGGAGGGGCGCGTGCAGGCGCGTGAGGCCGGGAAGAAAATGAGGGAATTGATATCGAGCGCGTGCGGCGGAGAGAGGTGGCGCGTGTTCTTCTACGTGTCGCCGTACGAGAGGACAAGAACGACGCTCAGGGAGGTCGGGAGAGGATTCTCCCGGCGGCGCGTGATCGGAGTCAGGGAGGAGTGTCGGATCAGGGAACAAGATTTTGGGAATTTTCAGGTATGATTAGACGCGGTCATTTCTAGTTATTGATTATAATTATTTGATTTTTTTATGTTAGATTTGATTTATATAATTTATTCGGATAGAATGTATTTGGTTCTCTAGGTATATTTTATTCCGTAGCACTGTTTTGTTAAACTATTTTTTAATTTATTAATTTATGGGATTGTTAAATAACATATTCAAGAGCTTTTAATTTATTTTTTTTGAACAGGTGGAGGAGAGGATGAGAGTGGTGAAGGAGACAAGAGAAAGGTTTGGAAGGTTCTATTTCCGGTTCCCGGAGGGTGAATCGGCGGCGGACGTCTACGATCGTGTTTCTAGTAAGTTCGTCGGATTATATTTATTCAAAATTATATTTGATCAAATTTAAAACCAAAATTGGAATTGAAATTGAACCCAACATAATGTAATATGTTATGGTTTTATTCTTTTTAAATATAAATATTAAATTCATACTTTTTAGGCGGCGGAAAAAAAAAGTCAGAATTTTGTGGTTCAATGTTAAGATTTTGTCTACGTTGGACTTTTGACCGTGAAATATAAAATGCGCAGATAAAATAAGACAAAAAAAAGACGAAATTATTTCATTCCTGCATCCTTTTTTTACAATCAAAATATTTTATACTTTTTTACAATCAAAATAATCTTTATATTTATCGAAAAACTAACAAATTGAATAAATAAAATAGAAGTAAATAAGATACAATATTGTGTTCATTATTATTTCTAATCATATATCAAAATCAATATATTTTTTCTTATTTTAACATTCTCCTCAAGATTAATTTTGAAAGAATACAAAAGTTAATCTTGAAAGTGATAAAAAAACCATAGATATTTTTATTGTCTTTAGAAAAAATCCACAAACACCAAATTTAGTTCTTTTAGAGAAATTTTTTTTTTGATAAAGATTTGTATTAACGAAAAAGATACATAGTTGTCGATACATAGTGGGTGAACACCATTACAAAAAATTAACAGAGATTGGCTCTATTAGTTGGTCTGTATCAGTGGAGTAGGTAGCGGGTTACTGTTGAACCAAAGCTGCAGACTTAAGCTTGCCAGTTCAGGTGAGGAAGAGCGCAGGGCAGCAATACGTGTCCGAAAAACCCTGTCAATATCCCTGATCAGTAAGGAGACATCTGAGAAGTAACTTCGATGCAGCCTGTTGTTCCTCTCTTTCCAAATCATGTAGATTATTATCTGCCATAATGATAGGACTGTGAATCTTCTAACCCTGCAACCAAGGCTACGATCTAACAAGTGGAGAATCGCATTCCAAGAGCAGTTAGGAGGGATCTGGATCATAGTACCCAACGAGGCTGCAACAATCCTTGAAGAATATGGGCATTCAAAAAATAAATGATCTCTAGTTTCCACACTATCCTGACAGAGAAGGCATCTCGGATCTATATTCAGTCCCCATGAATTCAATCTATCTCTTGTCGGGCATCTGTCCAAGTTGACTAGCCAAGTGGTGAAAGCAAACTTCGGGATATGATGCTTATGTCAAACGACATCAGTCCAAGATATATTGTCGGATGGATGACACATCGATTTCCAGATTTCTCTAGAGGAGAATATAGTCATTACCTTTCCATCGACTTGCCATGTTACCTCGTCCTGGCTATCAGACAGAGTAGTCGAGGCTAGGTAAATGGCAAGTTGAAGAGAGTTTTCTGATCTAGGGGGAGCAATTGACCACGAGCCGTTAGAGTAAACCTCTGCAACAGTGGCGCGGAGAGGAATTCCCAACATCATTGGCCCTCCTCGACCCAAGAAAGCGATCAGCGGACCCATGGGTGTCCATGGGTCAAACCAGAATCTGGTTTGACATCCATTACCAAATCGGAAACGAAAGAAGGATGATGCCCATGTTCTAAGTTTTAGCAGCTTCCTGAAAGTCCAAGATTGGATCGATTTGCTAGTGATAGACCAGAAGGAGCCTCTTTGCAGGTACTTGCTTTTTATCCATCCCACCCATAAAGACCCGCCTCGGAAAAAGAGGCTCCAGATAAGTTTTAATGCTGCCATATCATTCCACTTAGTGAGATCTTTAATTCCAAGTCCCCCTTCCTTCTTTGGCTTCGTAATCCTCTCCCATGCAACTCTGGCTCCTCTAGTCGGTTCAGTTTTCCCTTTCCACAAGAAGGCAGAAGATATAGAGACGATTTGTTTAATAATCCTTTTAGGCAATATGAAGGCACTACACCAATAACCAATGATCCCTGAAATAACTGAGTTCAGGAGCTGCAGTCTCCCTGCGAATGATAGTGTTTTTGCAGACCAGGATTCCATCCTATTCCTGATTTTCACAAGCAGAGAGGAACAATCATTGTAAGACAGTTTCTTCGAAGATAGAGGGATCCCTAGATACCTGAATGGCAAGGATGAGTGTTGTATGGATGTGATCCTTGACAAATGTTCAATCTGATCCGGATTACAGCCTCCTACATAGAGACTTGACTTGGACTTATTGATGTACAACCCAGAGAGCTCTCCAAATTCATTCAGAACTCGCATCAAGGTCTGCATTGATACATCTGATCCATCACTGAACACTAGTAAATCATCTGCAAAGCCCAGGTGTGTGATTCCCAGATTCCTGCAGCTCGGGTGGAATCCTCTTGAACCTACAAAGAAGCCATATATGCCGCCATTCACTGCCACCGAGAAATGGGTGGAAGAGATACAAGATTGGATTGGGCGGAGGAGGCAGTCCGGTACACCAAAGGCTTGCAGAACAGCCAACAAGAAATCCCATTCAATGGAGTCAAATGCCTTTGCTATATCCAGCTTGAAGGTAGTTCTCGGGGTGATGTTTTTCCTATGATAGCCTTCCAAGAGCTCTGCTGCGAGCAAACAGTTTTCAGTAATACTCCGACCCCGCACAAAAGCTGATTGAGTTCGTGGAGCTACAGCCTCCACAATTAGCTTCAGTCTACTCACCAGTAGTTTACTAATCACCTTGTACAGTGTGTTACAGCAAGAGATAGGGCGAAAATCTCTCAACTTTTCAGCCCCTTCTACTTTAGGCACTAAAACCAACGTAGTAGCATTGACTGACCTGGGCAAAAAACCTGTTGACATGAAGTGATGGACTGATTGTATGATTTCCGGCCCCATTATGTCCCATGTCTTCAAGTAAAACTCTGTCGTTAGACCATCAGGGCCAGGGGTTTTATTTGACGGCATGGACTGAAGGGTAGCTTTAATTTCCGAATCTGTGAATGGCCTCGCAACCTGGAGAAGAGCATTGTGAGGGGCTCTGGGGCAGAGGTGCTGCAATCTTGTCAGCAGGTTCGAAGTTCCACGATCCTGTCTAGCTGGTCCCATTATGGACTTAAAGTACTCAACTGCCATCGTACTGATTTTATCTTGATCAGTAATGCGCTGTCCATCCGCGGAGATGAGATGTCGGATAGTATTCTTGGAGTTTCTGATCAGTAGGGATCTGTAGAAGAACCTGGAATTTTGGTCGCCAACACGGAGCCAATGCACACGTGACCTTTGTTTCAGATATTTCTCCTCTATCTCTCTGAGATGTGTCCATCTGTATAGGCTCCTCTGCTCCTCTTCAAAGGTAATATTCGTGGGGTTACGGAAGGCATTTTCCTGCGCAAATAATAGAGAGGAATGTGCGTTAGAAACCCTTTTTTGGAGTTCACTGTAATTTTCCTTACAGAGAGTTTTGAGAGTGATTTTTTGCTTCCTTAGTTTGTGGTGGAGCTCCGATAGTGTAGAGGCTCCATGTCCCGCCATGTGCCAGGAAAGTGACATAGTAGGTAGGAAAGAAGGGTGGTCCAAGATATAATTGAAGAGCTTAAAGGGTTTTGGGATCGGTTTTGTTTGGGGCTGTAGAGTGATTATATACAGGGAGTGATCCGATGGATGAGGTGGAAGAAAAGTTGCGTGGCTACTGGGAAAAGAGGTTAACCAAGCTTCATTCTCTCTCTCTCTCTCTTTTAGAGAAAATTACTCATTTTCAAATAACTTCACTTGATTTTAAAGTTCTACTTTTAACTCTTTTTGTCATAGCATCTCGCTTAATTTTAAAGTTTTTAATTTTGATTTCTTTTTGTCACAACACTTTCTTTGATTTTGGATTTTTACTCCTCTTTGAACGATTTAGATATATGAATATCTAAAACTTAAAAAAGAAGAGATTAAAAAAAAAAATATAGAGCAAATCGAATCAGACTCTAATACCATTCAGAAATATAAAATGCAGAAATAAAATAAGAAAAAGGAAAAGAAATGGAATTAATTTATTATTACATCTTTTCTTATTCTTGTTTTACAATGAAAATAATCTTTATATTTATAGGAATACTAACAAATCGAATAAAAATGGAATATAAATAAAATAGAAATAAATAAGATATACAATATTGTGTTAATTATTATTTCCAATCATTTATCAAAATCTATATATTTCCTCTAATCATATATTCGTTTTTCTATTTTAACGGATTTTTTTTTTTAATTTGGTCGGCTTTACAAGAAATAGCCCAATTTGGCTTCTGTCTTCATTGGTCAACATACGTATTCAAGGGTCAACATCCATTTTAAGGTCTTCATATTATAAAAAAAAAACTGCAATTGTTTTAGCAAGATAAAAAGATATAAGATTTTTTTTTTGGAAAAAAAGATATAAGATTTGCTCACCAAAAAATTCCTGTTTTGGCGATATAGCCAAATGCAACTTATAGCCAATATATATATATGCCATTCGATTGCCATTTATCATAACATGAAATTTATCTTTCTTTTTTTATAACGAAATTTATCTTGATACGAAAGGCTTTTTGGAGTCACTATGGAGAGACGTGGACATGAACAGACTTCACGTGGACCCATCGACCGAACTGAACCTGGTGATAGTGACTCACGGCCTCACTTCTCGAGTCTTCATGATGAAATGGTTCAAGTGGACGGTCCAACAGTTCGAGCATCTGAACAATTTCGGCAACTGCGAGTTCCGAGTCTTGGAACTAGGGTCGGGCGGAGAATACAGCCTCGCCATTCACCACTCCGAGGAAGAGATGTCGGAATGGGGAATGTCGGAGGATATGATCAGAGACCAGAAGTGGCGTGTCGATGGCAGCCGTGGAAAGTTCAATGACTTTTGCCCATGGCATCTGGACGAGTATTTCGATTGCTCGGGGGTTACAGATGAAGACGAAGAAGATGAAAATTAATGGTAATTTGAATTTAATCTAATTGTTTATGCATGTGACGTTATTTGTTGTTTGCACTACGAGTTGATGAATTCAATGGTCGGTCCATGACTTAGGGAGATGGATGGAAACAAAGATGAACATCAACTACATTAGAAATTCATACGTGGGTTTTCATACTCGAATTATATTTGGTATTAGCAAAGTTGATATGAAAAGAATTGTGATGAACGAAATAAATAAATAAATAAATTGAATCTAATAAAAATTGTAAGAATCTAACAAATATTTGTATATATCTTTGAATTATATTTGTTTATATAATATGATATGTAGTTGTCGTAGAACTTCAGATTCGACTGCGAATCTCTCTCAAGCGCACCTTTCTTTCTCGAACTCGAAATACCGAAAACAACGAAGAATTTACAAGAATGAAAAGAGACACGATCGATTTACGAGTTCAGATCAAACATTGTGTTTGATCCTACGTCTCGGGGAGAGAGGGAATTTCACTATGAATCAACGGATTACAGTTTACAAGATCAAGAATGAAGTGATTTTTCTGAACGTTACTCAACCCAGAAACTCACAGCTCCTTATAAGGAAGACAACCAAAGCCTCTATTCCATTTAGAGTCTTCTTCTTGTGTAGAACCTTCTAGCAGAAACAGAGTCTTCAACTGGATATAAGTTTTACAGGCATTTTCACATCATCATATAAGATCAATTATAGTATTCATAAATTGAATCCATTACACTAATCGGGCCCATTTTCTGTAGTATATTGACGTTTATATAGTAAAAAAATATAATTTGTATTAAAATTATAATTTGTTCTAATTTTTGAAATAAAAAAGGATTATAATGGATTTCTTTTTAAGTAGAAAATTTAGTCACAAAAATTTTTCACAAGTAATATTTTTACCTTTATTAATATAGAAAAAAATTATTTAAATAAATGCGATTGAGTTTGGTGGTGGGACTTAGTTAGATTCATATTAAAAAACATGCTCACACGCTCTCTCTCTCTCACAACCACACACACACACACATATATATATATTACAAACTGATACCGTTGGATGGATCTCTATAGAAATATTTCTTTCAAAAATGAAAAAAATAGTACCTAACTAATAGCTATATTAGAAAAATATATTTACCTTTCAGTACACCTAGTCGCAACGGTGTAAAACGAGTCCGATTTATGGGTTTGTTCGCGAACCGATCCATATTTTTTTGAGTCAGGCTCAAAATATTTGAGTTAAAAAAAATGGATCAAACGAGTCAGCTCGTCACGAGATGGATTCATCGTGAGCCAGTTCGGTGAGTCCAAAAACTAACTCGCGAATCAAGAAAAAAATATTTATTTAACATAAAATTTATTTTTATTAGATATTTAGTTTATTTTGTTTTAATTTTTTTTATATTTAGAAATTTTTTAAATATTTTATAATATTTTTTATATTTAAATTTTTTTAAAAGTTATATATTTGGTTCGCGAGGCGACTCGTTTGGTTTACAAGCTAACGTTATTTGGATTGGACTGATCAATCTTTGTATCGCTAAAAAATAGATCGAATTTGACGACTAAAATATTTTCAGATCGGAACGGGCAGCCCGTTTTACAGCCTACCTAGTCGTCTATCCAAGAAAAATATCAATTTTAGAAAGCAACACCCTTGGTTAATGGAAGAGGTACCCCTCTTATATAATTAGTCAAGACGTATTTAAACTATACAATTATATTTTTATTCGAATTCCAAATACGAAGAAAATTTCAAGTCCATTATATACGACCACACGGGATTCCCTATTAATATCAGCTTTCTGGCATAGCAATCCTTTCTAAAATGCCCTTTCTTGCCACAATGCCAACATTCAGTGTCTCTGCCTCTTGACTTCGATCTAGACCTGGGTTTCTTGCCATTTCGTCCTCTGGATTGTGACCTTCCTCTCACATTTAGAACTTCAGCTGATCCTTTTCCGAGCTTTCCCTGTGCCTTCAGTTCCAGCTCCTTAGATCTTGCTGCTGCTTTTACTTCTTCTGCTGTGATTGAAGATCGTGAGTATTTGAGCACCTCTCTAAGTTGCTCATATGGTGGAGGCAGAGAATTGAGGAGATAGACTGCTTGATATTCCTCTTCAACTTTCACTTGCAAACTTTGGAGATCTGAAAGAATTTTCTGAAACTCGTCGAGGTTGTCTTCAATGGATTTTTTCTCATCCATTCTGAATCCAGAGATTCGCTGCATCAGATACATTCGATTAGGGAGTGAATGTTCCAGGAACATTCGTTCCAACAATCTCCAGATGGCAAAAGCCGTCTTTTCTTGGATCACTTTCCTGAGAATTTGATCAGATAGGCATAGCACTATCAGATTTCTTGTTTTTCTGCTTCTATCTGCTCGTTCTTGGATTGATCTTGCACCGATTTGTTCTGAGCCTTTTGTTGTTGCGAAACCAGCAGTGATTTGCGAACTAACCTCTGAGATGACTGAAGAATCTCCCATTTGTTCTGGACTGATTGCGGTCTGTACTGGAGTTTTCATTTCTTCACCGATCTTTGTATCCTCCTTCATGATCCAAGTCGATGGATCATCATCAAGTGTATCCACTAACCCCGTGATTTCTAATCCGATCTGTATCTTTTCTTTCCACAGAACAAAGTCGTTTTTTCCGTCGAACTTTTCAACATCGAGCCTTTGCAGGGAAGCCGTCATTTCTGTTCTTCTATGCAAGTTCTTGCCCTGACCTTTTCCGAGACTTGATCGCCCCAACGAACCGGGCTCTGATACCACCTGTAGTTGTCGTAGAACTTCAGATTCGACTGCGAATCTCTCTCAAGCACACCTTTCTTTCTCGAACTCGAAATACCGAAAACAACGAAGAATTTACAAGAATGAAAAGAGACACGATCGATTTACGAGTTCAGATCAAACGTTGTGTTTGATCCTACGTCTCGGGGAGAGAGGGAATTTCACTATGAATCAACGGATTACAGTTTACAAGATCAAGAATGAAGTGATTTTTCTGAACGTTACTCAACCCAGAAACTCACAGCTCCTTATAAGGAAGACAACCAAAGCCTCTATTCCATTTAGAGTCTTCTTCTTGTGTAGAACCTTCTAGCAGAAACAGAGTCTTCAACTGGATATAAGTTTTACAGGCATTTTCACATCATCATATAAGATCAATTATAGTATTCATAAATTGAATCCATTACACTAATCGGGCCCATTTTCTGTAGTATATTGACGTTTATATAGTAAAAAAATATAATTTGTATTAAAATTATAATTTGTTCTAATTTTTGAAATAAAAAAGGATTATAATGGATTTCTTTTTAAGTAGAAAATTTAGTCACAAAAATTTTTCACAAGTAATATTTTTACCTTTATTAATATAGAAAAAAATTATTTAAATAAATGCGATTGAGTTTGGTGGTGGGACTTAGTTAGATTCATATTAAAAAACATGCTCACACGCTCTCTCTCTCTCACAACCACACACACACACACATATATATATATTACAAACTGATACCGTTGGATGGATCTCTATAGAAATATTTCTTTCAAAAATGAAAAAAATAGTACCTAACTAATAGCTATATTAGAAAAATATATTTACCTTTCAGTACACCTAGTCGCAACGGTGTAAAACGAGTCCGATTTATGGGTTTGTTCGCGAACCGATCCATATTTTTTTGAGTCAGGCTCAAAATATTTGAGTTAAAAAAAATGGATCAAACGAGTCAGCTCGTCACGAGATGGATTCATCGTGAGCCAGTTCGGTGAGTCCAAAAACTAACTCGCGAATCAAGAAAAAAATATTTATTTAACATAAAATTTATTTTTATTAGATATTTAGTTTATTTTGTTTTAATTTTTTTTATATTTAGAAATTTTTTAAATATTTTATAATATTTTTTATATTTAAATTTTTTTAAAAGTTATATATTTGGTTCGCGAGGCGACTCGTTTGGTTTACAAGCTAACGTTATTTGGATTGGACTGATCAATCTTTGTATCGCTAAAAAATAGATCGAATTTGACGACTAAAATATTTTCAGATCGGAACGGGCAGCCCGTTTTACAGCCTACCTAGTCGTCTATCCAAGAAAAATATCAATTTTAGAAAGCAACACCCTTGGTTAATGGAAGAGGTACCCCTCTTATATAATTAGTCAAGACGTATTTAAACTATACAATTATATTTTTATTCGAATTCCAAATACGAAGAAAATTTCAAGTCCATTATATACGACCACACGGGATTCCCTATTAATATCAGCAGAAATTTCAATCTTTTTGACCAAACGATCTTTTCAATTTAGCCTCTCTCTCTCTCTCTCTCTCTCTCTCTCTCTCTCTCTCTCTCTCTCTCTCTCTCTCATGGCTTCCCCTTCTTCTCACCATGACGTATTCATAAGCTTCACGGGAAGAGACGTCCGTAGAACATTTCTCAGCCATCTTCGAAAAGAATTCCGAGTGAAGGGAATTTCGTGTTTCGAGGATGATAGAATCGAGAGAAGTCGGTCCATCGGTCCCGAACTCGTAAGAGCTATAAAGGAATCGATGGTATCGGTCGTAGTCATCTCGAAGAACTACGCTTCTTCGAGTTGGTGTCTGGACGAATTGTCAGAGATTATGAAACGTAGGGAAGAAGACGAAGGGCATTATAAGGTCATGACCGTTTTCTACGAAGTGGATCCGTACGATGTGCGGAAACAAGCAGGAGATTTCGGGGAGGAGTTCGAGAGAACTTGTGTCGGTTCATCAATGGAGAATATACGGAGATGGAAGGAAGCGTTGAGTGAGGTGGCGAATATAGCAGGGGAACATTCTCGGAACTGGTTTGTCCTTCTAACCCCAGTTGTTGTTTTGTTTTTCTGTCGTTTAGGGTTTGCATGGTTTTGTTTCGGTAATCGGTACCAATCTTGATTTATTTCGCGGGAGATTTTAGTGATAGTTTGAATTAAGTTGATTTGATATGATCTCAACAAGTAACTCGAAGAACTTTGAAGATTGATATATGATTTCTATAGAGATCCATCAAACAGTATCAGTTTGCTATATGTATATGTGTGTATGTATGTATATAGATTCGTGTGTATGTATATGTATACTTATATGCAGAGCCGTCCTAAACCTTTTCGGCCCTGTACAAAAAAAATTATTTATTTTAATTTTAAAATTTAATTCTAATTTTAAAAAATTAAATATAATGTTTTATAAATATTATTAAAATATTAATAACAATAATTGTGATAATAATAATATTATTAAAATAATAAATAATCATAATATATGATTAAAAGATATAAAAAATTATATTTTAAAGATTTATCATTTTTAAAAATAATTATTTAAAATGAATGATATGATATAAAAAATAATTTTTTAATAATTAGAGTTAAAAGATCAATGTTATTCTAGAATAATATAGATTTTATTTTAAATCAATAAATTTAATGATATTAATATAAATAAATTATGAATTTAATATATGGTGATTACATATAACTCAAAATATTTATGAATTGATTATTACAACAAATGATTTAGAAAAAATGGTCTTAATTTTATATTAAATACTATAAATTTATAAAAAAAAATTGATTTTTTAATAGGACCCACCTCATTTGAAAAAATGTAAAAAAATATTTTTAAGTGAATTAAACAAAACTTAAAAAATTTATTATTTTAATTTTTTTAATAAATAGTACTTGTAAATTATAAATATAATAAATTTTTAAAAAATGTTGGCCCCACCCAAATTGTGGGCCCTGCTAATATGTCATGTATGTATGTGTATACAGGTATCTATATGTATATATGTGTTTGTAAATACGTATGTGTATTTTAGAGTTAAATTTTTTAAAAATGAGTTATAGTTTGAATTAGTTGAATATCTATAACGATCTCAACAAGTAACTCGAAGTCCTTCGGAGCCAAGTGAGTTAGTTTGAGCGTTTGTGATTCTCCAAGAGGTTATGGGTTCAATATCAATCTCCTATGAATCTATCACTCTTTGGATGGTTTACTAGTTCTACATGGTTTGCAGTCTATTGCGTCACCATATCTAAAAGGTTGTGGCTGAGTTCCAACTTTTTAACAAACAAAAAAAGTAGTTGGAAGACCTTTGAAAATTGATATATGATATCAGCAAGTTGAATTAATATATGTGTATATCTATATGTATGTACCATGCATGTGTATAATGATATTCTTTGCTACTATACAAAGTTAACATCTTCTCTTGCCGGAGTTCAATCCTACACCAATATGTACAAAAACAATTCACATGTATGACAAGGGCTCCTTACAAAATTGTGTTTGAATTCTATTGGCTATCTGTTTGATCGATCGTTTCCGTTCTTAGGGACAACGAGGCAGAGATGATTGAAAAAATCGTCGTAGATATTTCGAGTGACTTGAGTTCTACATCGGCCGAGGATGTCGATGACATACGTATAATGGAATCTCATACAGGACCGATGGCTCGGCTCTTACGCTTAGAATCCGAGGAAGTGAGGTTTGTCGGGATCTGGGGCCCTGCGGGCATCGGTAAGACCACTCTCGCCCGAGCTTTGTTTAGCCGACACTCGAGTAATTTCCAGCTAAGTCTCTTTGTCGAAAACGTGAAGCGAGATTACAAGAAAACTGATTTCGACGATTATGGTTTGAAACTATATCTAAAAGAACAACTGCTATCCAAAATGTTCGACCTAAAGGACATTGGAATGAACCATCACATGGGCGTGGGGATGGAAAGGCTAAAGAGCAAGAAAATCTTACTCGTTCTTGATGATATCGACGATGCCAAACAGCTAGACGACGCCTTGGCTAGCCATACTCGATGGCTTGGTCCGGGAAGTAGGGTTATCGTGACGACGAAAGACGTGAAACTGCTGAGATCACACAACATCGACCGTATATACAACGTTGATTTTCCATCTAAGGACAAAGCTATTCAAATCTTTAGCCGATACGCTTTCGGACAAAACTCTCCGCCCGATGGTTTTCGAGATCTCGTTACCGAGGTTGTAAGTCTTGCCGGTTATCTACCTCTGGGCCTCGGGGTCTTGGGTTCGAGCCTGCGAGGGATGGTTAAAGAGGATTGGTTGCTGGCATTGCCGAGGTTGAGATCAAGTCTCGATAAAAAGATTGAGAAAACACTTCAAGTTAGCTACCATGACTTGCATGACAAAGACAAATCCATATTTCTTCACATTTCATGCCTATTCAACGGCGAGCACGTCGATCGGATATCGCAGTTGCTGGCGAATAGCGACTTGGATATCGACTTCGGGTTAAAGGTCCTTGCCGATAGGTCTCTTATACGTATATCTACCTACGGACGGATAGTGATGCATTGCTTGCTAGAGCAGATGGGCAGAGAAATCGTTCGCAGACAATCCATTCACGGGCCGGGAAAACGCCAGTTTTTAGTGGATCCAAAGGAGATATACGACGTATTTTCCGATAATACGGTAAGCCTCACGGCTTTCATGATCACTTTCGACACAGTTCGGCTCGATCCTCGTGACGATAAGTCTAACAATTTGTTATATTTCAGGGCACAGGAAATGTTTTGGGCATATCCTTAGACGCATCAAGATTGCCGGATAAGTTGTTCATAAGCCAAAAGATATTCTTAAGATTTCCGAATCTTCAGTTCCTAAGATTCTGCAATAGCTCCATGGATGACGGCGAGAGGATGTTGCGTTTCTCCGGAGGTCTTGATTATCTGTCACGTAAACTTAGGCTATTGCATTGGGATGCCTTTCCGATGGCGACGATGCCTCGTGGGTTTCGACCTGAATTTCTCGTTGAGCTCAATTTGCGAGGGAGCAAGCTCCAGAAGCTCTGGGATGGAAGACAGGTCAGTTCATTTTCATATCTAGGGTTTTCTATTTTTATTGCGTATATAAACAAATAATTAACTTAATAAACTGAATTAGACTAGAAGTGATTATGTAGATATGATTAGAGACATCAATAGATTAAGAAATCAAATCTTGATGGTGTCATTTATATCTCTTAATTTATTTATTTTCATCGTATATTATTTTTCTTTTTAAACTTTCTTTTCTTATTTGTTTTGCATGCGTTTTACGTGAATTGTTTTTATTTAAAATGAAGAATAAAAGACGTATTAACGTGGTTCTTCGTGTTGCATTGCATTCAGCCCCTTAGGAATCTCAAGGAGATGGATTTGAGTTACTCAAGGAGCTTGAGAGAAATTCCAGATCTCTCCAACGCGACGAATCTTGAGAAGCTGTATCTTGATTGCTGCGAGAGTTTGATCGCTCTTCCCTCGTCCATCGGAGAACTCAACAAGTTGACGAGATTAAGCATGGAGGGATGCATAAACTTCGAGGCGTTTCCCGACAACGTCGACTTGGAATCTCTTAGCATCCTCGATCTGAATAGATGCTCGCGGTTGAGGAGTTTTCCGGAGATTTCGACGAATATTGAGCATCTTCGACTGAACAATACCGCGATAGACGAGATCCCGTCGTCCATTAGACAGTGGTCTCGCCTTTTCGAATTCTCCATGAACGACTGCGGACAGCTCAAGATGTTTCCGCATGTTCCGCATTCTGTTCGGTTTCTGTTTTTGAGTAAGACGGGAATAGAAGAAGTTCCTCCGTGGATCGAGAATCTATCTCGGCTCAAACTACTTGAGATGGGATATTGCAAGAACCTGAAGAGGATCTCGTCGAATATCTCTAACCTCGAACATCTTGAAAGGCTGGTGTTTTCGGGTTCTAGAAATATCGCGAGTGTTCATACCGAGATCTTCAAGAACTCTTGCTTCTCAAACACTCCGAGGCTCGGTGTAGCGAAGATTCACGTCACGTCTCTCACGAGGTTATCGTTAGCCAATAGCGATTTCGTGAGTATTCCGGATTACATCAAGCATCTCTGTCACCTGCACGCTTTGTTCCTCGACAATTGCAGAAGACTGACATCGTTGCCCGATCTGCCGGATTCGCTCTGCACCCTTCGAGCATTCGGATGCGTCTCGCTCGAGAAAGTGTCTCGCCCTTTCTCTAACCCCGGAATCACTCTCAACTTCATCAACTGCTTGAATCTAAATCAAGAATCGCAAAGATTTGTTCAAGAATCTGTTTGCATGCACGCGTTCTTGCCAGTCGGAAAAGTGTTCGGATACTTCCCCCACTGGGCGAGCGGAAGCTCGCTGACCATCCGTTACGAAAAGAGGCTTTTCCCCGAGTTCTTGAGGTTCAAGGCTTGTGTCGTTCTTGCTGCCGAAACCATTTCCGAGACGTCGTTATCCAAAACGATCGTTATATCTTATCGCGCCGTCGCCAGAGGCGCGGCCGTCAGGACGTACGAATTTCCGGACGTTCTTGTTCATGTCCATACGCTCCTAACTACGGATCATCTCTGTATGTTCAGCTCTTATGTATGGCTAGACGACATTGACAGAGACGGCGGAACACAAGAAGCGGTGACTGACAGCGAGATTCTTCTCGAGTTTAGTTGCACTCCTTACAAGGTAAAGGGATGCGGTCTCCAAATCTTGAATGCTTCTTGTCGGTCTTCGGACACATTGGACACGTGTCTTTGATGATTATTGAAAATCTGAAGTGAATGCTTCTTTTTTGCACATTTTATATTTTCTTTTTTTTGTTTCTTACATATATTTGATATTTAGCATGAAAAACTGTTATATATTTGATATTTACCATAGACTCGGCATCGGCATTCAAATTTAGGATAGTTTGGTAATATTTGTGATGACTATTTAAATATCTAAATAGGTAATCCCAGTCATCAAATGATATGACAATTTTGATCGAATGAAAAAAAGAGAGAAAGAAATCCAAAAAAATCATGGTTTTATATTTTAGTATCCAAATAAATAATGTTTTTCAATCGTAATTTCAAATAAAATAATAAATAGTTTGTCATAAATTACTGTTGACATAAGGAATAATATGATGTTTCATTTTTATTACAATCAGGAAGCATTAAATCTTGGATGGTTATTTCTCTACAATTTACAATGCAATAAAATGAATCGAATATATAAATTTCGATCAATTCTAATATGATCCCATATGACAAAAAGTGTGTGTACACATTACCAATTTTATCGCCCCGTGGCCAAAATAAATAATATTAGTATTGGATTAAAAATCATATAACTGTAATTATTGGATTTGGTGGTCATAACATAATAATTTGGTGCCTTTCGGGTCAGGTCAGTTGGTTGGGAGTAGGGGGCAACTCCTTGAGATGGGGGGTTCGAATTCTGCCGTCTCCCTTCCCCTGACCTGCTCGTCTGTCAGCCTATCATAATAGGCTGATTTACCTCCTACGCGTGTGTTGCAGGCTCGTGCTCGTGGGCTTGAGGTTTGACCCGCAGGCGCCTAGCTAAGCCCAACTACGGCCCGAACGTTAGGCGCGTCTGGTGGCCAGGTCCGGCGGACTGAGGTTCATGGGGACTGTTAGGCGCGGGTGGTGGCCAGTTCGTCTCCGTTTGTAAGGGTAGGTAGTCACGGGTTCCCCAATGTATAAAAAAATAATAATAATAATAATAATTTGGTGGAAATGTGTCCCAATTCTTTTATCAACGACGTGTTGAATTAAGAAAATTAATATGTGATTGAAGCAAATATTGATTTTAAGATATGATTAGAAATAATAATGGACATAATATTATATCAAATATTGTGTATCGATCTTATTTATTTCTATTTACTTTTTATTTCGTCTCATAGTTTTCCTATAAATATGTGATCACTACAAAAAAACACTTACATAGTGACGGAAAAATTCATCGCAAATATAAAAGAAATCCGTCGCAATTAAGAATTTGCGACGGAATGCAACGGACTTATTTCCGTCGGTATAACGCTGTCGCAAACGTATAACGGTCGTTAATCCGTCGCATTTTTGTGACGAAAAAAATCTGCGTTTTGCGACGGAAAGTGATGGATAAATCCGTCGCATTTCGTCACAAATGTTTTAAAAAATTTAAAAAAAATATAAAAAAATTATATACTATATATACACATACATATATACATTTTCACATACACATATATTCATACATATACATTACATACATACAAATATACATACACGTACATACATATATATACACATATTTTCATATACACAAACACACATACACATATATACATATATATACACATATTTTCATATACACAAACACACATACACATCCACATATATACACATATACACATATATACACATACATAAATACTCATACACATATACATTTCACAAACACATACACATACATATAAACACACACATATACACATATTCATATACACATACAATCACATATACATACACATACATATTCACATTCACATATATATACACATCCACATACATAAACACACACACATACACATTCACACATACATACACATTCACTTACACATATATAAACACACACATACACATTCACACATATATATACACATTCACATACACACACATACACATACATAAACACACACAAACACATCAAACACACACATATATATATACATAAATACATATATATTACCTTATGGGAGAAACTTGACGATCTTTGGAGAGATTTAGAAAAAAATTGGCGTTTTTTTTTCCCGAAAATCTTTGAAGTCTGATGAAGAAGGCGACTCGTGGTTTTATATTGCGTTTTGCGACGGAATTTTCCGTCGCAATCCGTCACAAAATAAAATTAATTTACGCGTCCAAAATTCAAAAAATTTCGTCGAAAAACGAAACCAAATACATTGCGATGGAAAATTTCGTCGCAATCCGTCGCAATTTTTATTTTCCGTCGCATATCATCTATTTCTTTGTTGTGACAGAATTATCTGTCGCAAACCGTAGCAAATTGCGATGGATTTTGCGACTGTTTGCGACGGCTAATTTTTTTCCACATTCTGTCGTAAAATCGTCACATTCCGTCGCAATTTTCGGTGCGACGGAAATTTCCGTCGCAAATTCCGTCGCTATATGCAGTTTTTTTTATAGTGGATTTATTTTCATTGTAATTCAAGAAGAAAGAAGAGATGTAGCAATAAAAATGTCTCCGTTCTTTTATCTTTTGTTTTTTTTTTCTAATTTAATTTCCGTATTTTATTTTTCAATACGACTTGCCCAACGTTATAACAGAGAAATCGTCAAACTTCTATTTTTTTACCTGAAATTTTCAAATTAATATTAAAAGATAAGTTGTAATTATAAAACAGTTTACTGTTATTCTATAGTAAGTAAAATCATAATGTCATTTTCTATGACAACGCGTTTAGGAAATCCATTTTCTAACGACAGTTGTTTTAAATAAGCCTATTTCTCTGAATTATAATATGGTTAATCCCACAAAAAAATCCCAAACTTGTTAAAATGTTTCATATAAAACCTTAAACTTTTAATCTCCCACAAAAAACTCTGAATTTGGTAAAAACTTTCACAAAAATTATAAACTTATCATTTTCTTCCATATAAAACATTTGATTTGTTTGATAAAAAAAATTGCTGATGTGACACGACATATTATTGATATGACGTTGACTGAGTTGACACGTCAGCGCCGCGTCATCATTTTATAAAAATATTTGATAGTTGATAAATATAATTTTTTTTAAATGAGCGATCTATGAAATTTAACATAACAAATACATATTCTATATTTTATTCTAAAATTTTTAATTGAATGTTGTGGTCAGCGCGTTTAGAATATTTCTTCTTGTTTCCTTCTCCAAGTTGGAGAAGAAGGGTATTCACTTCACATATTTTTTTTATAACGGGCTACCTTCGATCGTGTTGACTAAGTAAATCTATTGGTTCAGGACCACCCTTTGTATATGGGTCTTTTGATCCAGAAATTACATCTCTCCCTATGCCCCTTCCTTGCAATTTCCTTAAAAAATAAAGACAAAAAAATGCAGAATTTGCTTTGAAGCTTCCTCCTTAGTGAACGAGGATCTTTAAATCGAGATAGAGGGTTATGCTCTGTCCACAGAACATCTTCCTTCTCTTCACCCTCTCACATGGCTTCTTCTTCTTCTTCTTCTTCTTCTTCTTCTTCTTCTTCTTCTTCTTCTTCTTCTTCTTCTTATTACCACGATGTCTTTCCGAGCTTCAGCGGTGCAGATGTTCGCAAACACTTACTGTCCCACGTTCACAAGGAGTTCAAACGAATGGGGATCATTACGTTCAATGACAACGGAATCGATAGAGGCCGAACCATCGGCCCGGAAGTCATAAGAGCCATTCAAGAGTCAAGGGTCGTAGTCGTCATGCTTTCCGAGAACTACGCTTCTTCGACCTGGTGCTTCGATGAGTTGTTGGAGATCATCAAGTGTAGGGAGACGAAGGGACAGATAGTTTTGACGGTTTTCCACAGAGTATATATATCCTTCACATGTACGGAAGCAGACAGAAATCTTCGGAAAGACTTTCAGAAGAACTTGCAAGGGCAAGACACCCGAGGAGAAGCAAAGGTGGAAGGATGCTCTTAATGAGGTCGCAAACATTGCTGGTGAGCATTCAGAGAAATGATATGTTCCTTTAAATCTGTTGATCATTACATAAATTTGGGTAGTTCAACGGTGAATCAAATGTAGAATTTGATGATATTTTTTATAATGCCCATATTTAATCTATTTATCGATTTATATATATATATATATATATATATATATATATATATGATTGAAGGTATGATCTTTTTTTCGTTTCCTTGCTAGGGACTATGAATCTGACATGATTCAGAAGATTGCTGTCGATGTCTCTAACGCCTTGAACTTTACGCCGTCGAGAGACTTCACCGGCCTAGTTGGAATGCAATCTCATATGGCAAACATAACAAGGTTGTTGCGAATGGGATCTAGCGAAGTGATATTCGTAGGGATATGGGGCCCCGCAGGAATCGGCAAGTCTGTCATCGCCAGGGCTTTGTACGAAAGGTTCTCATCCGGTTTCCAAATGAGATATTTCATGGCGAATATAAAGGGGATACATGAGGGAAGTGCCCTATATGGTTATGAAACGAAAAAGGATCTATAGAAGCAACTTCTATCTGGAATCACCGGTCAAAGGGATCTCGAGGTAAACCACTTAGCAACGGCACCGCAAAGGCTGAAGCACGACAAAGTCTTTCTCGTTCTCGATGACATAGACAAAACCGAGCAACTCGAAGCCTTGGCGAAAGACGAAACATGGTTTGGTTCTGGAAGTAGGATTGTCGTCACTACACAAAACAGACGGCTCCTAATGGCGTATCAGATAAACCCCACGTACGAAGTGCCTTTTCCGTCCAGTCGCGAAGCTCTTCAGATCTTCTGTGGATATGCCTTTGGACAAAGCTCTCCCCCCGACGGTTTTTACAACTTAGCCGTTAAAATCACAAATCTTGCCGGTAATCTTCCTTTGGGTCTGAGTGTTTTGGGTTCATCTATGCGTGGAATGAGCAAGGAAGATTGGGAACTCGCTTTGCGTAGATATAGAAGCAGTCTCGATGGCGACATAAAGAAAACACTGCAAGCTGGCTACGATTGCTTATCAGATAAAGACAAGTCCATATTTCTTCGCATCACATGCATGTTCAACGGTGAACAAGCTTCTTTACTATCCCAACTTCTAGCCCATAGTGACCTGGACGTGGATTTTGGCTTAAAAGTCCTAGTCCAGAGGTTTTTTCTACGTATAAACGGAAATGGGCATATAGAAATGCACAGCTTGCTACAACAACTAGGTATAGAAATCGTCCGTGGACAAGATCTTTGGAAACGTCAATTTCTATTGGATGCAAAGGATTTCTACGATATACTTGACCATGACAAGGCAAGCATCTTACGTATGTATGCTCGTTTATATCTCAATCAAATTCTATTTGGTGATCTAATAATTGCTTCTTTTTCGTAATGAATGTTTCAGGGTAGTGAAGCTAGAGTTGTCTTAGGCATCTCTTTATCCACACGTGATTTATTTGGAAAGTTTTTCATTAGTGGGAAGACCTTCGTAAAATTCCCCAACCTCCAGTTTCTAAAGATACATGACCGCCCGACACTAAAGGTATCAGGCGACATCGATTATCTGCCACCCAAACTCCAGTTTCTAGAGTGGTTGGGTTATCCAATGAAGACTATGCCTTCCAAGTTTCATCCTCGATTTCTAGTAAAACTCGTCATGAGAAACGCTATGCTTGAGACATGGCAAAGAACTCAAGTAAGTGAGACATATTACCCTAACCTCTGTTTTTTTTTTCATGTTCGCCGTAATCATTTTTCGAACATATATATATATATATATATATATATATATCATTATATAATCTTGAAAATGTGTCCATTCATATATCTTTTTTTGTGTGTGATAATTTTGATTAGTGTCTGCTTTGCATCTCAGCCTCTTGGGAATCTCATCCATGCGGAGCTGACTTTCTCGGCGAATTATATGAGATCACTTCCCGATCTCGAGAAAGCCACGAATCTCGAAATGTTGGATCTTACTAACTGCGCTTATTTGATCAAACTTCCTGATATTTCGAATCTGAAGAATCTCAAGTCTATGCGCCTTGATCGTTGCAAAAGCTTGGTCACACTTCCTTCTTCTCTTCGAGAGCTTAACAAACTCGAGAGCTTGATGATGCGGGAATGCGAAAGGCTTGAGGCTCTTCCTTCGGACAATATCAACTTGGAATCTCTCAGTTATGTCAATCTCAACGAATGCTCAACACTGTACACCTTTCCAGAGATTTCAAGAAACATTGAAAGGCTCCATATGGATGGCACCGCCATAGGAGGAGTACCTTCGTCAATTCGACATTGGAGACGTCTTATGCTTGTTTGCATATCAAGTTGTAGAAAGCTGAGGACTTACGAAAGCTTTCCTCGTAGTGTTAAGGCCCTAAATTTGAATGAAGTGTGGGTGGAAGTCATCTCGCCAAATCTATGGATGTCGAAAAATACCCAAAACTCGGTTATGTTACTCTCTGGGAAAGAAATGCCTACCCACTTTGTTTATCAAGCTAGAGGAAGTTCTCTAGCCATCCCTTCAGATAAAATCCCTACTCCTGCATCCTTCAAATTCAATGCTTGCGTAAGGTTTGCTGCCAAAGATAAATTTATGGCCTTCAGATCACTGCAGGTCAGCATTTCGTGTCGTCTTGGCGATGGGAATGATGGTTATCGATAACTTCAGTAGGTGGTCAAGAAAATTCCAGGTGACCTGGATTATTATGGTCGGACCCTAATCACGGATCATCTGTGCATCATTTCTGGTTCTGTGCAGCCGTAGACGGTGACACTGAAGCGGTGGAAATCGCCCGCAAGGATTTGTTGTTTGAGTTCAGATCCAGTGATTATGGCACCATAACAAAATACAGTGTAACTGTCTTAAAAGATTTGGATGATGAGTAAGAGCATCGTCTGACGAGGAATGAAAACGATAGTGATAGTGATGGGGATATCTTATTGAAGATTTGGATGATAAGTTCGGCTCTTGCTTTTTTATATATTTTTTTTTCCACTCTTCATTTCCTGTTGTTGGGTTTGGTTTCTTTTGTTTGAAGCATAATGTTGTCAACTTCTAATATGTTTGTAACTATTTTGTTTATATTCATGGAATCAAACTCTTTCATGTCTTCATTTTCATGTTTTGTATCTTTCGAGAAGTTTGAAGAGGACATTTTAGCACTCCACATGATAAAAAAGAACGAAGGGACAAAGAAGCAATAGGAGAGAAATATGCCAACCTCAACACGCGAGAGGAATCGAAAAAAAAAAGAACTAGGGTTTCCGTTCAAACCCGATCTAGGGTTTCGAGACCGGGGTTCTACGTCAGATTCTATGACAAGCATTTTGTAACCCTAAATCTACTAATATTGCATCTGAATTAGTCCATAGTTTCGCCCATGACACAAGTCACGAACGTCTCAATATGAGGACATTTTTATAATATTTTTTGCAATTTTTTACAATTTTTTTTACAATTTTTTTTATAATTTTTTTATTATTAATATGACGTGTATTCTACGTGGTGAGGTATCACGTAAGCGTCTATGTGGCAAAATTAATTCGGTTCAAAATTTTGTTAAAATTTAAATTTCGAATGATTTTTTAAAAAAATATTTCAAATTCATTATAAATATAAATATTTTAAAGATTCATGATAAATCTGCTAATTATTTGTCATTGATGATTTTTTTTTTGGGAATTTCCCTTGACTACGTGACTGTGATTTTTTCATTTTATTTTTAGAAACAGTGAATAGTCAGGTACTAAAAGACTCAATATTTTCCTCCAAATAAGTAAAAAGTTATAGAAAAAAAAATGAATTTTTGAAGATGATGGGGTGAATCTGCAAAAAATGATACTTCCCTCCTTGCTCTATTTTCGTCTTCACGACCCAACCGCCGGATTATCTCTTCCTCAGGTCCTCCTCCGTCTTGTCGCGAGTTTCGACCACTCTCGCCGGCGGCTATTTTCCGGCGACTATCGATTCTTCATGGTAAACAGCTTCTTCTCTTTTCGCATTTCCTTCGAGTAGTTGGTTCGCACCGCCTAAGCTATGGCGATGGGCCAAGGTTTTCCCGCGTGTTCTGCTGTCGCTTGGCGAATTGTGTGGTCAAATCGACGACATTGTCGGTTTTTTAGGTCAAATTTATATGAAAAAGTTTCGATATGTTAATGTCAACTTTTTTCCTGCTGCCAAATGAAGTATGATATGAGGTTGAGCGATTTAGGTTTTGGTTTGGGTTATCGTTTTTTATATTGATTTTGGCTGAAAACATGTTCTCCATATCTTAGGAGAAGAAAATGGGTTTAGATTCTTTCGAACAACGATGTAATAATGGTGAACGAGAAAGGGTAAACTGGAATCCGACAATGGAACAGTATTTCATCGACCTTATGTTGGATCAGATGAACAAAGGGACCAGATTAGGGCATACATTCAGTAGACAAGCCTGGACCGAGATGTCAGCGATGTTTAACGCTAAATTCAGATGCAAATACCACAGAGATATGCTGAAAACCCATTACAGTGTTTTGTGGAAGCAGTACCATGACGTTAAGGAGCTTCTAGTGCGGGATGGTTTCATGTGGGACGATGCCCATAAAATGGTGGTTTCTGATTCATGTTCTTGGGATGATTATATCAAGGTTCTTTTGGCTAGTTTCTGTTACCTATTATGCTTACTGCATCTTGTCTTGTGTATTCTAAAGCGGTTTCGGTTAACTATTCCTGTGTTAACATTCAGGGTCAGCCAGATGCTGCAATTTATAGAGGGAAATCCATGCCACATTTTGATGATTTGTGCTTGATTTATGCGTATACAAAAGCAGACGGGAGATACAGCCGTTCTAGTCATGACCTGGAATTTGATGATGAAGTCCAAGGGCTGATTGCCAGTATGTTTTATGATCTTGTTCCAGAATTTCTCGTATTTTAAACCCAGTTTTCTTGTTTCCGTTATTGTGTAGCTTCAGAGCTTAGTCTTTGAATTTTTACTGAAAGGTGAGGATTTTGTGAGGTAGTTTATTTTCTTTCTGTTGTGGGTAATAGTTTAGGTTGCTCAGTAAAAGTAAGGATCACCAAAGCAGAGGTATTTTATTATACCCTGTCAGTTTCTGCTGTTTCAATGTTTTCTTCTTCCTCTGCTGAAAGTTTTTGTTGTCTTCTCACATGACCCATCTACCTCCATCCTTTTTTCAGGTTCTGTTGACGATGACATTGCTCTTGTGAAAATGGAACATGCAGAACCAGAATGGACAGCGGCTATGGACCGATACTTCATAGAGCTTATGATGGACCAAACTAGAAGTGGAAACAGAAATAATGACACATTCCACAAGCATGCATGGAAGGACATGTGCGAGATGTTGAACTCCAAATTTTGTTCCCACTACAGCATTGGATATCTTAAACTCCGTCATAAGGAGCTCTCCGAGTATTACTGTGACATACAAAATCTCCTGAAACAAAATGGGTTTTTCTGGGATGAGGAAAGACAGATTATACTGGCTGAAAATGATGTATGGGATAGCTATATCAAGGTACTGTGCTGCTATCATCTAATAGTTGTAATCGATTTCATTGCATGTATGCTCATTATCATCGTTTTAGGTGAATCCAGAGGCTCAATCCTTGAGAAATGAGACGTTATTGGGCTATCGAGATTTGTGTTTGATATATGACAACAAGAAAAATAACGGGCCAAGGAATCTTGTACAACATGATAAATTCGCTGAGGATGTTTTCTTACCTGAAAGGAGTGGTATGTTTTCTTTCTTTCTTTTTTTCTAAAAGTTTACAGGTAGAAGCTTGATCTCTTCTTCTAAAAATGAGGAAAAATGTTTGTATGAATCCTTTGTTTGTAAGTTCTTGACAGTTTCTATAGAATTTGATACAAAAAATTATGCTGATGATCTTCTATTGTCCTGGAAACCAACCTAGCAATAGCATGTGTTTTTTTCCTCACATTCTATTACGAGCATCTCTATCTGCCGTTGAGAATGTTGCATTGATTAGATCTTAAGGGTTGAGCATTCAAGAGATGAATAGTTATGATTATTTGTGTTGGTGAAGATATTGTAGGTCATTTTTCTGCTGGAAGTGAGATTCTGAAAGTAAGCTGGACTCCATCTATGGACCGTTATCTGATTGATTTGCTTCTTGACCAAGCTTTACGAGGGAATCAAATTGGTGATACATTCACTGATGAGGCTTGGACTGAAATGACCACAATTTTCACACGCCAATTTGGAGCTTTCTATGACAATGTTTCTTTAAAGCAACAGTTAAAAGTCTTGCATAGACAATACAATGACATCAATATTCTCCTGGAGCAGAGCAGGTTCTATTGGGATGACACTCGAGAAACAGTAGTTGCCGAAGATCATATTTGGGGGAACTATATCAAGGTAAATTGCATTTATGTGCTATAATATAGTATCAAGTCCGTTCGTTGTTGTTTAGTATGTAATTAGTGAATTTTTCAGGAACATCCTGAGGCTGCGGTTTATAGAAACAAATCAATTTCCAGCTATCACAAGCTGGGTGTCATTTTTTTCGATGAAAATTCTCATAGGAGATGCAGTGAGTTGGGTGATGCAGATCTTGAGTATGGTGAGCCGGATCAAATTAACAGTAAGCATTTATATCCACCTTAGATAAAAGAAAAATGGTCCTAGGTATCTTTGCATGTGTACCAAAGAATTTTTCTGACCTTGAGAGTATAGCTCTCTCCCTTGCCACTCTGCCAATGTTTAGCTCCATTTGCTTGACTTTTAAACCCTATTGCCGACTTGCAGTCACCACATGGTCTTACTTTGCTTTTCTCAATTGTTTGTTCTTTGAGTGATTCTGTGTAACTTATGCTACAGGGGAATCATCCGAATGTCCTTCACAAAGTTATCGTTTTGTGGATCACTGGACTCCTCCAATGGATCGCCATCTTATAGACCTCATGTTGCAACAAGTTTATCTTGGCAATCGAATAGGTTCCTCTTTTTGTGATGAGTCATGGGCAGAGATGTCTTTGTCATTTGTAGACAGATTTGGTCTGCCTCAGAGAAAAGCTCCCTTGAAAACCCGTCACAAACATTTCAAGAGAATATATGATGACTTAGAGAACCTTCTTAGTCGGAAAGGATTTTCGTGGGATGAGAAATTGCAGACGGTTAAGGCCAACAACTATGTTTGGGATGTGCTCTTCAAGGTATTTAGTTTATCCTTTTCAGTTTTAAAATCTTCACTTTCTATTGTGAGTGCCCAACTTGTTGCCCGTGTAGGATTACCCAGATGCAAAATGTTACAGAGGCCGGCGATATCCAAACTATAATGAATTTTTCCTGATTTATGGGGATTCAGCCTCTCATGCTATAGGTAATCCAAGTGTAATGGTTAAATGCATATGGTGATGATTAATTTTGACACTCTGGGTTCGTATAAATTATATTGTCTCGTTTGTAGCTCCCAGACATAAGAATGACTACGCAAAAAGGACAGACTGGACACCGCCTATGGACAGATATTTCATCGATCTAATGCTAGAACAAGTGCGTCAAGGCAATAAGTTAGATAAAGACTTCAACAAAATAGCCTGGGATACTATGGCCACAAAATTCATCTCCCTGTTTGGACATCGACATGACAGAGACATGTTGAAGAGTCGATTTTTGATTCTGAGGAAAAGATTCAACGACATGAAAACTTTACTAAAGCAGCCAGGGTTTTTTTGGGATGAAGCAAGGCAAATGGTACTGGCTGATCACTGTCTCTGGGATGCGTATATCAAGGTGTAGTACTGCCTGACATCTTGTGTGCATTAAGAAATCTCAATAGATGTATAACTTAATCGTCTTGATTGGTGCAGGAACATCCAAATGCAAGATCATACCACAAAAGATCTTTCCC